ACGCGCGCGTGTGTGTGTGTGTGTGCACAGTCCTTCGGAGCACACATACACTGAGTTGAACTTCGTCCATACTTTTGTTGCACAAGTCTGGCCTCAGTAGTCGATGCTAACAAACGTCGGTTATTCTCAACTAGGGTTAGTATGAAGAAGCTTCTTGAAGTGTTGATGATCTCCTGCAGCTGATGCGCCAACGTTAAAACCCCAGTTCAGAAGAACCGCCAGATGGTGGTGCCATACGACCGGATGTTGGCAAAGCTAACTTTCGGAAGTGGAGGTGCCCCTGAAAGTCCGAGCATCTTTGAATGGTCGAAATTGCAGAGAAGTCCCAGACTGTTCCTCGAATTTGGGCTGTAGATTCTGGATGACATGTTACATGCTAACTACAGTGGAGGGCGGTGATCTGTGCCGGCAGTCTCGTTCTTGAGAAAAGTTTTTCAAATGTGAACTATTGCAACAGAGTTTGATTTACTGGCAGCAGAGTTTCAATGGGAGCATGCCACGCCTGCTTAGCCCCATAGTGTAGGGTATCTGTCTGGAAGAGCCAACGTTTCTGCACTCCATCGCGATCTTCCTGGCCCCAGCTAGTAGCAAAATAAGACGTAGGCCAGCTTCCTCCCGCAAGAGTAGCTGATAAGTCACTGCTTCTCTGCGTACAGCCCCGCTGTCGGTCCCGGATCCCCTTGAGTCCTCAGCGATAGAAAAAGAGATGACCCTGTGATTCCTGTGCCCCAAGTCTTCGCATCGTGACTTCCACCACATCTTTGTTGCAGCAGGTGTCAGGGAAGGCTCCGTGGACCATCTGCGCAGCTTCTTCCGAATACTTTTGGGGGGGGCCCGAATCGTTCTACGATCTTCACACTACGCATGCCCCATAATGCGGCTTGGTCTCTTCCTGCCTTTGGTCAATTCTAACTGGTTCGAGCTACGATTTGGTCTCCCATGTTTAAGCATGTTTAAGCTTGTTGGAGCTTACGGCCCAAGGCCTCTATCGTGAAAGCAACGTTGATGTGACCTCTGTCCATTGCCTTGCCAGTGCCTGTGCAGCTATGGTTGGTATGCCTTATTCAGGATTCAGAGTGTACTTGCGATGATATAGCCACGGAAATGCATGCACGGTGTCTACGTGCATCAGCCAAATCGTGGTAAGATGCATTTTTGGGTTCGTAGGCTGGGTAGGAGTTTGCTGAGCATTTCCATATGGGCCTGTTCGAGAGCAGCTGTGCGGGGCAACCGAAGATATTAGAGGATGATGGGTTTAGGTCCAGGTGAGTGGTAGGAACTCCTTAAATGGCACTTGTTGGCATGGCGTGAAGAGGACAACTCTGACAGCGTTTTTGTTCAGACTGCTTTCGTTTCAATGGAAAGCCTTTAGTCGTCACCGATAGTTCACATGGGGCCAGTGCTTGCTGAAAAAGGAGCCCGATGGTTGCGGCATGGTCCGCTTTTGTTTGTGAGTCTATTTGTTGAGCGATTCCTTTTGTTTTGTGCATATCGCCTAGTTTCCGAAGACGTCGCCGAGGTAATCTGCGATGTGAACCCCGGACGAGCTCCCCAAATGCTGTGCGACATGTGCCGTCAAAGACACCCGGTCCTGGCACAGAAGTGCGGAAATTTCAAGGAGGGAGGAAGAAATCGAATGGACCTTAAACCAGTCTGTCTCGGCAAGTCCCGAACAGAGAGGCCGCCGGCAACCTGAAGGCAGATTGCCCAGCAGACCTCGGAGTAGACACCCGCGCTCCTGTATCCTGAAGAAGTCCCGACACATTCCAAATCACCAATCTGTGGCGTTTGCTCTAAACTGCTAGAAGAACAAGCAGGTCGCGTCGTGTCACATCCAAAATAATTACAATTGGCATGTCTGCTTGAGTGTGTGTGTGTGTGTGGTGGGGGTGGAGATGGAATACGGCTTAACACATCAAACTCATGGCCAGCGTGCATGGCAAGCATGGCTCGAACAGACCAGAATGGTGGTAAGACAGCAGCCTAGAATAGCCTAAATGCATTAACGTGCCGGATCACAACAGGGATCTTTACAAGATGCGATAACCAATTGCATGGCTCGTTCTAGTCTCCGGCATTAAGTTGGTTTCACGCCCTTGGGGAGAAAAGTGGGCTTGCCAAGACGCTTTGTTGAGGCTTTGTTCTTGCTGTTTAGAGTTTAGGGTTTAGGGTCATCGCTTGCTGGCGGAAGAGCGGCAAATTACCAGGCGTCCTTGCAAGCAAGCGTGCAGCAAACAGGGTCATCGCTTAGCCGTCGTCTGTCTTGGCTGCTGGCTATGGCTCTGGACATGGACTACCTGAAGTTGATCGGTCTTCTTGCTTTCCATGAGAAGCAGCCACTGCAGGAAGATGTCCAGCGTTGCGACTCTTTGGAATCTTGTTCCTCTACCAGGGAGACCTCTGTTGCCGTCTTCACTTTTTATTTCTAGTCGGTGCGCTGCAAACTTGACCCTTGCTCTTGTGTGGGTTCAGTCAGGACGGCCCTGAGAGCCGCATGTCAGAAGATGAAGACGATATCCTCTTCTCCTGCGAGGATCTTTCCATTCCCATCCGATGGCACTGCGACCGGATGTCGCATGTGGCATGTTTTGGCTTTGTCTTGTGAGTTGCGGGGCGTCTTCAAGCGAGCCGTAACAATGTCGTTGAATTGGCGCCCTAAAGGAAGTTCCTAAACCTTGAACCGTCTAAACCATGAACACTAAAGGGCCAGACTGCCAGCCAAGGTGAGTTCTTTCGTGTGGACTTCAGTCTGCAAGCATACACTCCGCCAACGTTTGCTGCTGAGAGACGCGGCCTGAAATTGTAAACTTCCTATAGGGCTTCTTTGCGTTGTCGGTTATTGGTTCCCTAAACCCTATAAACCCTAAGTGACATAGTAGTCGAGGTAGAGTATTGGTAGAGTTGTTGGGCACCCGAACACAGTGACCTCTTCCGGCAAGTCCGAGTTGCGAGAGCGTAAACCCTAAACCCCAAACCCATGACTCGCACAGATTGCTGGGATATGCCCGAGCCGCCCCGGCTCTAGTTTTATATCTTTGTTATTTTAAATCCCTTTGCCCTCTTTTCATGGTCAGAAGCAATCTGCAGATGATGCATCTTGGGATCCTACAGTTGGTGTATTAGCAGTTCTTTAGATGAGTAGGATCCTGAGTGAGGATGTGTCCCACAGACTGCGGTCACTTTAGTTGTTGCTAGTAGGTGTTGCTTGTCCTTGACTATTCCTCGTAGTGAAGTCTCACTTCTCAGACGCCGAACCACTCGCCTGGATTGTCCGAGTGTGAGCGCCGAAACCCCCAACCGCAGGGGGCTAAGTAGGAGGGGAAAAACCGTGGGGGGAACCCTAAGGCTCCATGTGCCCATATAGATACTTAGGCCTTATATAAAGTACCTATGTAGGGACCCCTTTAAGGCTTAAGTATCCACTCTAAGGGTACATGGGGCCTTTGGGGAATGAGGATTGAGATTCTCGGCTTTTCGGCCCCTAGGGTTCTCGGAGCTCAGACCTGGCTTTGGCGTTGTAAAGGGGCCTCAACAAGGACCTATATACGTTTTGGGGGTTTCTTATTGTCTTTATTATATAATAATGGGCCCCCAAACCCTATTCTAGGTATTGTAATGTTAGTTTATTTTTTGCTGAAAGTCCTGAAAGAAGCCAGCACAAACTACTGTCGACCACTTTGCAGCCTAGGATAACAGATTTTAGTGAATGATAAGCTTCCCACATGCTGAACTCCTGCTCCTAAACCCAAGAACCTCCAATCAAAAGTACTGCCGGCCATACATTGGTGCTTAGTCGTGTTTCGATGCGAAGCTTCCGGCTCAATTGTTCTTCGGATTTACTCTGCAATGCGGGCTCGTCCTTGCTAAGTGGGGAAAAATCCTAGTTTGCTTTTTTGCTTCTTTGGGAATAGGATGAAGTCGAGCACCGTAGAGTTTCACTAGTTCACCCTGGCGAAGCCAGGCCACATGTCCTGACGTCTTTGCCGCCTCCTTTTGATGTGAGCTCTTTTCTGTGAGAATGAGGGCATGATGACTCCCCCATCTGCCGACATGCAGCCAATATGCTGCCCTTCCGACCCGAACAATCCTCGCCTAGAGAGCCGGAGTTGCGAGAGTCCAAGCCCTTGTCACTAAATCAGAACTCATCAAGCCCGAACTCCAACGAGCTCCACCACTGAGAGGCTGGAAGGCCTTTACATCAGCCCCCACAGTTTTTACATTCGATCCTGAACCCACACCCATAGACTCAAAAAGATCATTTTATACGCTCAACCCCAAACGCTAAACCCCTAAACCCCTGAACCCCTAAGCCATAAAGCAACCAAGCCCCAAACCCCTAAACCTAAACCTCAAAACCATAAAACAACAAAATCACAACCCCAAAGCCAGCCAAGGATCTACGTACTCGCAGACGGGAAGTGCCTGTCTACGGACCCCTGGCTCTCCTTGGAAGCCTTGCAGGTACCGGCTTTAGGTAGTGGGAGGTTTAGGGTTTAGGGGTTTAGGGTTTCGGGTTTAGGGTAGTAGGGGTAGTTCTTTGAATTCGGGGGTCCCTGCACGGGTCCTGTTTATGAGCGTGCGGCACGGTACTATATTTGGAATCTAAACAGGGATCCTAATTTAGAGAACTAAACAGAGGTTTAGAGGAACCTCCAAGGGAATCTGGGTTCGGTGCATACTGGAGTTTCGTAGCTTTCAGGGCCTCCTTCGGGACCTGTGGGTGTAAGGATTCGAGTCTGAGAGATCTGAGGGTCACGGCTGTCAAGGGTTCATAGTCGGCGAGGTTCGATGGTGGTCATATGCAAAAGTTGTGCATTCAGTGTAATGTAGCAATACCGTTGCACTGCCGTGAGTGTTCAGCCCTCTTTTCGAGATTTTATTGACATGGTCATACGGGCTTCGCGATATTGGGTCTACTGCTTCCTTTAATGCTGTGGGATGCAGTCAGCTATGCTTGGGATGAACCTTCAGAGCAGCACTGAGTAAGCTGTGGGGTGCTTCTTTGAGGGCTTTTAGGTTTTGACGAGGTCCTTCCCTGGATTGCGTCATTATACCGGAGGCCAAACTTCCCCAGGTTTGCCTCAAGATGGTCTGCTCCACTCATAGAGGAACACCGTGCTTGAGAAGGTGCGGGCCGTGCAGGCCGTCTTAGATTCCCTCATGCCGCTGAATGGTTTGACGAGGACGGTCTTGTGGAGGGTGCAAGGGGTGGGGTGGGAAACCTGCAAACCTTTTCACCATATTCCTGGTACGGTGGTGCCCTTAGTAGCAGCACCTGAAGTGCAACAGCTTGCTGCTTCAGGTTGGCCAGCTTTCAAAACTTTCGAGGCTAGACATCGGACGGGTGTAGCATTTGAAACGATGGCTACTTTGTGTGTGTGAAAATTTAGGATCGGCTTCTCCGACCACTGTCACAGATTGAGATTGAGGCTCCCCTAAATTACAGGGCTCGGCTGCGATATACTGCATTTAGGACACCTGAAGGAGATGGCATGTGCAGCATTTTAGAGCGAGCCCCGCAGTTCCTTTGAACCCTGGAGTTGAGTGTTTCCGTAGTAGTCGGCCATACCCTATAATAAGACTCCAAATATCCCAAAGTAGGTAGTATTCATAGACTTTAGACCCCAAAGTAGGTCTATTTGTATACTTAGAGTCTTAGGGATACTGTGATTCCCAAAACCAGTCTTGGCGGTTGGAGAGCAGGCTTGCTGGCTCGGGAAACTGAACGAAAGTGATGCGCTTGCCCTGAGTGCTCAGCCCTTGTGACGGTGCCAGCAAGATAGCTCTGAAGCGCAAATGGCTGCACCTTAGTCCGGCTAAGTGGTTTTTCTTGGACAAAACTCCTGTAATCCCTCAATTCGGATCCCTCGGCTTAGTATGTAGGCCTAAGCCCTAAGTCCGGGCCACAAAACCAGGGACAGTTTCCTCACGTCAACATCTGTGCCTCCACCGCTTGTGGGGGTGCCCCCGGCGGCCGCATTGGGACAGGCGTCCTTCGACTGACGCGACAGTCAATGGTTGAGGTTGTTGAAGTCGTGTTCGTGTTTTCGGAGTTCTCACGTTGCACCTTCGACCAGGGGATATACAGGAAGCATGCTGAAGTTGCTTCTGTGTGTTGACATGTGCAACGCATCTCCACGGTGTTCTGCGGCACGAAATGCTAAAATGCCAATACGATAGTGCATGTTTCTGCTTGCGGCTTAATTCAGGGCAGTTTGGTGTGTCGAAGGATGTGCGACTCGGGCCAAGACCTTGGATGTTAGCACGAAGGTGGCACGACGGTATAATTTGCGATGCATTGCGCATGAGTTTATGGTGGGCAGCATGACCTGGGGTTGGTTAGCTATGGCATGCATGTTGGATCACCTGTTTCCTAGCCCGTTTATGGTTCAGGGGTTGCTGAACGCTGGCTCGGACAGCGTAGTTAACGTGCATATTGTCCAGACGTTCCGTGGTAGTACGGGCGCCACTAAAATCGCAACCTGCAACCCGGCCTTCTGACCATACCCAAAACCCTAAACCCTATATTCTTTGTTGATTGTCATCTTGACTACTTCCTTCAGTTTCGTTTCACTTTGTCAGACTCCGAACCCTATGCCTCGCCTGGATTGTCCGAGCTCGAGCGTGAGCCCCGAAACCCTACACCCTCCCTTTCAAGGAACCGAAAACACCCAAAGGGTCCAAGTATCATTCTGGTATATACTTATAGGGCATTTTGGGGGTCTAAGTATACACCATGATGATACTTGGACCCTTTGGGACAAACACTGTCTGGACTGTGTAAAGCCAAGAGCCTCTCCGACCTGAAGAGGTGATAGCAGCTGCGCAGGCGCTCTTGAAAAGCTTTGGGTTTAGGGGCCCATAGACCTGAGTGCGGGTTCAGAAAAAGGGGCTTATGGGGTTTAGGGTCAACGCTTTGAAAGAAGTTGCTAGGACACTGGAGCTTCAGAAGTTGTGGTGGAGCGTAATTAGAGGCAGTTTCTGAGGGTTCAGTTCAGAGCAGTGGGGTTGGACATTGTAAGTAAGGGCGGGCTTTAGAGGTTAAGTTTCTGCTGAAGGTATATTTGGAAGCTGCACGGAGCATCGATAACGAATGCGACGCAGGGGCTTACTTAGCAAGGTGTTCCTCCTAAAGGATGCAAAATGCACACGTCTGGGGCCTGAAGTTCTGAGAGTCATCTACGGGGAGGATCCGGAAGCCTCGACAGATTTGCTGCCCCATTGACCGGTGCCCAACATGGAGTGGAGCAGGTTTATCAAGCCCGGCTGGTGACGGCGGACTGCTTTGTGAGTTTGCAGGCATCTGGGCGGGACAGATCGGAGTGATCACTAGGTCTTAGGGCCACTTTTCTGTTGGCATCTGGCAGTTCGAAGGGGACTGTGCGTGAGGCCCCTGTGGCCAGCAAGTGTGCTTTATGTGTGTGTGTGTGTGTGCCAGCTCGGGCAGGCGGGGGCTAAGGGACGTTGTGGAGTCAAGAGCTGTTAGCTCGCAGACTCTTCTGAAGTTTGGAGTTCATACAGGTTTAGAGCACTTCTGCGGGCATAGATAAAACAACATAGGGAACAAGTATAACGAATAATCACAGACGTGCGCTCCATAAGTGCATAATTCGGGTAATAAGACTCCACAAGCCCTGTTGCCTTCAAACCCAGCTCCATGAGATGATTCTTAGAACCCTAAACCCTATAAGCCCTAAGCCCTACTGATGTCAGGAAATGGTTTGCTGCTACTTTGACTTGATGTGTGCCCAGCTGGCACCAACGCCTTCTGATTTTCAGAAGCTGTTTTCGGTCACGGAGGTGCTGCCTTCCGTTTACAGCATGCACACGGAGTCGAGGCTGGTGTTGGGCAGTACATTCCTTCGATTTCAGGAGTACTACGAATGCCCGGACCCTAAGATTCGCCACTCTGCTTTCCAGTATGAAGAGTACAAGGAGTGGTTTCGAAACTCTTCCCGGGATAGGGGACAAGGCTTCAATTATTACTTGATATGGCCGGGCTTCAACGTGCCATCTTGGGTTGTCCGCGACCTGAAGAGTGGCAAAGTTGGCCTTCCCTTACGACCTCAGGAGGAGGCACTGCTGGGCCTGCTCCCAGAAGCTGAGGAAAGTTTCTACGTCATAGGCACCTGCGAGAAAGATGTGCAGACCTTGCACCACGAAATGGCACACGGGCTTTACACCACGAATTCCACCTACCGTTCGGCCGTGACTGAAGCTCTGGCACAACTCCCCCAGGCCCGCTCCGACGCCGCACGAAGAGTCTTGTTGGGCATGAGCTACGTAGACGACCCCGAGATTCTGAAGGACGAAATGCAAGCATACATGGTTGAAGGCAACTGCCTTTATGAAGATGATGAGGCAGAGTGCACAGCTGCTGCCGAAGTTCAGCGGCGCATCTCCACATTGTTTCGCCGCACCGCAGGGATCGATACGGACTTCGACAAGGAGTCTTAGCACATGCAGCTGGAACTTGGCTGCCGGATGCCCGCGGAATCAACTCGACAAGATCTGCACGTGGGATCCCGATTCTGGATGCAGGCTATGTCCTTCAGGGCCCAGGACGGCAAGGACTTGGACTTGGATTGGTTGAAGACAGCTGGGAAAGACGGTTTGGGTGTTGTCAAGCCGAAGTGGGAAGCAGACCAAGCTGCATCTACGCCATTCAGCCAAGAAAAAGCAAACAAGGTTTCTGACTCGGTCTGAAGGTTGAGGCTTCGCTAGTGATCTACATGTGGACATGAGGCCAGGGGCACTACGTTATCTGATCCTAGCCCCGGAGACCTTAGCAATTGCTACATGTGCATCGAGGAAGGCAGTGCGAGAGTGGAGATCCGAAGAAACACATTTACCTTGGCTAGTTTATTTTTGGCATCGGCGCCTTAACAAGGGGGGACAGGATTTCGGAGCACGACAAAGAAGTTGGATGTTGTCTCGCAGAGGGCATCGCAGCCCCTATCCCGAAACCCTGAACCGTGGCATTGGCAAATGCTGTGGGACCAGCACCGGTCCCATCTCACTTAGTGGCTCTGCATCTCTCCACTACCCTACGAGTTGTATGTGTGAGACGGACGGACAGAGAGGTAGGTGTTTGTCATCATTTTCGCATAAGTAAAATCTTGGTGCCACATTGGTCTGTTGAATGCTGAGCGTCCATCCAAGCTGCCTTTTGCATGCAGTCCTGATTTAGTTTAATAATTGGCCATAATAATTACTTATACTATTTTGAGGGTTCCTCATTATGACTATAGTATCATGGGCCCGAAAAATCCCATTCTAACTATCTAGGCCCCTATAATACATGTTGAGCACATGAACAAAGCCTTGTACTCTAAACCCGAAGCCCCAAACTTCTAGAAGCATTTCCGAAGGGTATGTTGGGAGCCTGCAAGACTAGCTACTAAGGATCACTTCAGAAGAAACTCAAAACGAGATGAAGAAGCAGCAGCTGCTATACGATCCTGTCGAATCATCATAGATGCTGTGTCCTGTGCCGTCACGAGAGGCTCAAAGGTACTGTGACATGCATCACATAGGAGCCTTTGTCCTCTAAAGCCCTGTTGCCTTTATTTCGACCTTTTGAACTTTGGAAACAAGCTGGGGACATGCCAAAGAAGCATGTCGCAGACTGTGGACTTGGAGCGCCAGGGGCCTCAGAAACAATCTCGGGATTCAGTGACGACATCTGACGACCCGGTCGGTTGCATTCTTTGTTCCGAGTAAGCCCAAATTCCCAGTACTCGTAGACTCGTAGAAGCATGGCCACTACTGCTACAACTACTACCACTAGTACTACTACCAATACGACTGGCTCCTATCAAGTTTCCACATGATTGCTCGGAGAGGCAAAGCACGACGACTGTCGCAACAGCTCACCTATTTCGACAAAGCCGATCACAGAAACAAGTGCACTAGATCAAATGCACCTGCTTCTCATATAAGACAATGAAGGCAGTGGTAATGGGCGAGTAAATGTCGATGATGGCCATGGTTATGATCGAGGTGCGGTTGCGTATGACGATATAGGTGGAGATGATGATATTACGATGATGATAATGTCGCGGCTGAATCTGACGATGACGACGTGGATGACGATCAACATGAATGAAAGCAAGACAAATGTGATGTTAATTGTGATGGTGACATCGGTGTTCTCTGCTGTTGTTGTTGCCATTGTCAAACGGTGGTGCTTGATGCACTTGTCAACGTAACTGCAACTAGAAGTTCATCATTGTGGTGATGGTGCCGGTGATGGTGATTGTGTTGTTGTTGCTGTAGCTGCTGCTTTTATTGCTGCTGCTGCTGTTGTTGCTGTTGGCTTTGCTGGTGCTGTCGCCGTGGCTGTGGCTGTTGCTGTTGCTTCTGCTGTTGTTGTTGATGGTGGTGGTGGTGGTGGTTGTGGCTGGCGTTGGTGTTGATTTTGGCGGTGCTGGAGTTGGTGTGGTTTTCGTTTTTGGTGTTGGTGTTGGTGGTGCTGGAGTTGGTATTGTTTTTGTTGGTGGTGGTTGTGCTGGTGGCGGTGTTGGTTGTTGGTGGAGGTGGTGATGCTGTTGTTGTCGTTGTTGGTGCTGGTGCTGGTGCGTGCGCTGTTTTTTTCTTTATTTGTTGTATGTGTTTTGTGTTGTTCTTTGCCGGTGATGTGTTGGTGGTGGCGGGTGGCTTGGTCTTCGTCGTGATTGTTTTGGTTTTTGTTGGTGGTGATCAGTTGATACTCACAATGGTGTTGATGCATATGGCAGCTTTTGATGCTTGTTTGATCGTTGTCGCCGTTGCTGATACCTATAAAAATGCTAATGGCAATGATGGTGGTGATGGTTGGCTGACAAAACTTGTCAGCACCAGGGTGATGATGATGATGATGATGATTATAAAGCACGGATCATGACTGTGTCGTCAATAATGGAAATCACTATGAAGTTTGATCAGTGACTTTGTCGACTGTCGACCGGAACTTCCAACCTCCACATATCCCTCTCAGGGATGCACGTCTACGAGGTCGGTGGTGCCATGGTGTTGGAGCCTCAGGGAGTGAGTGTTGTTGTGCTACGCTACTAGTGACAGGGCACAGCTTTTCCGTGTTCGTCAAATCGTGGAATTTTGTGTCGCACCACCCAGCAGAAGACTCAACGGATTTCCATGTAGATGTGTTAGCGACGGCGCTGCTTTTACTGTGGGAACGTCATAATACAAAGGAGACCCATAATCAAATTGAATGTGTTCGAAGTCAGGGCAAGCAGAACGCAGGCCATCTTGAGTCATTCGGCAGTGTGCATCCAGCAGTGTTCTGCAGTGACTCTAGTCTCCGTACCACTTTGATGCAGTTTCGACTGCCGCCGGAGTTGTAATCACAATCAGCATGCGGCGGGACAGTTGCTAAAGATTCCACATGTTTTCGTGTTAGCCAAAAACTGTAGCATGGGTTGCGGATGTCCTCAACGCCTCTCCACGATAAGATAATGACTAGCAGCTAGTCATTATCCTATCGTGGAGAGGCGCTGAGGATTTCGGCAACTCATTTGAGAAAGCTAAGAGAGTTCTACGCCTACCGTATGTTTCCACATCATCCTGTCACACCATCATTGTAGGGCGTTGTTGGCATCACGGTCACTTGCATTTCGTGTGCCACCTTGTGCAGAAGACATAGCTTCTACAACTTCCGACTGCTTCCTTGCCCTCGCATGCATCCCGAGTTGCATAATCAATGCATCCTCGCGTGGGTTGCCGTAGGGCGTAGCATACGGGAGTACAGTGGACAGGACTGGTTCAGAAAGCCTTGCCTATCGCTAGTGTGAGGTATCAGATGCTTTGCGGCAGGGATTTGACCGGCTCGATGGACAACTACATCTATCTCGCCGCTTGGTACATCAAGGGCAAGGAGGCAGCTGTGTGTTTGCCGAATCAGTGTTTCCCAAGACGTGCAAGGACATCCTAAACAAACGAAGCCAACAAACTCAATACATCACGACATTTGCCGTCTGAGAGCTATCCTTCAAGTGGTAGCGTGATTAAGTAATGACGTTGCTCAGTGCAGCATCCCGATATCGCGAACAGGAGCCAGTCATGTATAGACACTGAACTGAGGTAAGCATTTTCATGGTAAAACAGGCCGGTCCTGGTGCTGCCAAGTTCTGACGCACAGGTCGTCAATACACACAACCAGACGGCCATTACCGTGGATGCAGCCTGGGACATCGACGGCATCTTCCGCTTTGCAGAATCTTTGCAGGCCATGGGTGCGGAGTTTGATTTGGAGTGTCTTAAGGTTTAGCCAGGGTGATTATTTCATAGAGGTTGGGGTCCTTCGTGCAATTACCCTTGCCATCGCTTATCACTGCTGCTGTTGCAAGCAGTCTCTTGAATGGTTCTGCCTTTGAGTGATGCGTCTATATTTGAGGGACCATGGCGCACTGGCATGTCCTCAGAACAGGTGACCATGCAACCATATCCAACCATCGCTTTAAGTTGATCGGAGCAGCTAGGGACCCACCATGTCTGGACGTGTATATACTAATCTGTATATATGGGTGTATATATGTATATACATATATATATATATGTATATATACACATGTGTGCGCACCTACATTTTTCATGCGTGCATACAAATACGTCTATATTGATTTCCTCCTTCATCAATTTTCTCATGTATGAATGTATGTGTGTCTGCGTCCAGATGACTTGTATGCTGCTGATTGCTTAGAAACCTCGCCTGACTTTAACGAGCACGAGTGACAAAAAAGTATGTATGCATGCATGTATGAGAGTATGTATGTATGCATGCATGCAGGTATGTACGTATGTATTTTCACTTGTTGAAGACCTCCAATACCATATATTACACGTACAGCTACATAAAGCATTCCTCGGCATAAGCAAGCTACATGGCACTTTACACTTGTTACATTCTTTGCTATGCGTTCTACTACTACAAAACAATAGGGTTCGTTCAGCGCGCTTTTACAGTAGCAACTCCACATGCCTGGGCGCTTCACCCAGCTCGCCGTCAATATAGTCAGCCGGAGTGAAACCTCCGCATTGGTTATGCTACTTTGGCTCAAGCTCAACTGGAGGGGCCGTCTCCCAGACACGGGACACGATGACTGCTCCGCAGGATGCAACTCTTGCCGTGAATTTCCATGGTTCAGGGAAAGCTAGAGTTTTTGAACGCAGATAAAACAGATGTGATTGGGATGGACTCCTGTCTGCCTTCAGGGTTTCATGCTACCGGCATGTCATGGTTTCTGGATGTTTCTGGCCGAACGCGACAGGCTGTACGTTTGACGGGCCTTTCGGGCTTCACGGACTTGGGGCTGGGGCTTGCGCAAGTGAGTGGAGACGCTACAATACCTGCCCTTCTAGGGTGTAGGCTTACTTGGCAGAAGGTTCAGGTCAAGCGTTTACTTCAAGAAGTTTTTGGAGCAGCCGGCATCCCGCGGTCGCAGTTCCAAGCCTTCTTCTAGGCTTCCTATATTTTACAAGTTGTTCGACGTATGTGCGGGGGCAAAACCCAATATTCAGCACAAAGCTGACGACCCAAATGTCCCGAGCATCTCGAACATAAACCGCTTTGTAACTCCGTCTCATGACGCAGCCGCATAATAGCGCGTGTGGGAACTTTCCGAAACCGCTTTCCAGGATGAAAGCAACGAGCTTTTAAACAAGTTCTTGCCAGCCAAGACACCTAATCATCTAACATCTTTGTGAAGCCTTTCAGCTATTATAGGCGCCTCAATTAAGACCTATACTATTTTGGGGGTTCAACATTATATTTATAGTAGAAAAGCTCCAAACCCTGTTCTCATTATGAAAGCCCCGACAGTATAGCATGCAGGGCCTTTCCGGTGGGCTTCTGGATTCCCAGAGGGAGGCGAAAGAGCGAGAGACCTCGACAGCAAGCAGTCCTCAACTCGTTCATTTATCGAAGGGCAGTTTGAATCTTTAGGGTTTCTGCTTGTAGGATGTTTTAGGGTTTGGGGCTTCGATCTAAATGTAGGATATTTAGGGATGCACGTTCTCGGTATGTCAGCCTCTCACTCGTCAGGGCTTGTGGAGCTGAGTTTCCGTGACTTTGGATACAGCAGCTGATGCTGTCCGGGTGTCCGGTGATGTGCTTTGATCTCTTGTTGGCTTCTTGAATGCCCGGTCTTAGAAGTTAACTATGGATGTAGCATAGTCCACATCTGCACCAGGCCCAAACCAACCAACCGTTACACCCGAAACTGGGAATCCTGGCACCATCTTGTCGTTGGATGGGCCCCGAACCTCAGACCTTAAACCCGGAGCCTCAGACCCTGGATTCGGCGCAGGCAGCCTCCGAACTGCTGAACAAGATTTTTATGAGGGCAAAGGGTTTAACTTTCAACCATTCCTGAACCCCCAAACCTTGCTAGACCGCCTGAACCCTATAGAAAGTAGCTAGCAGCTGGAAGCCTTTAACCTCTAGACCCCAACAAACACCAAGCCGCAGAACCCAATAGCCTCCAACATCATCTGACAGCTGGGGGGCGCTTCCATCCAAGGGGAAAAGGAGGGACCCTTAATGGGGACCCCTAGGTATATACCCTTAATGTAGCTATTATATACCCATTATATAGCCCATTATAGGGTAGGGGTCCCCATTAATGGTCCCTCCATTTCCCCTTTGATTCCAGGCATTGCAGAAGGCCCATGGCAAGCTGAAGCGACAATGTTCCAAACAGCTGCAGAGCCTCCCGACTGAGGGTGCAGATGTAGGTAAGGAGCATTTCCCAGCAACGCTGGCATAGATGCATAGCTATAAATGCTGAACACATAGATAGATGAGTATGTATATGCAAACACACATATATCTACACAGGTGTGTGCGTGGAGGGAGAGAGAGAGAGCGAGAGAGAGAGAGAGAGAGAGAAAAAGAATAAGATAATGAATGAATGGACGAATGAACGAATGAATGAATCAACGAAGGAAGGAAGGAAGACATGAATGAACTCATGAACGAACGAGCGAACGCATGAATGAATGAATGGATGGGTGGATGGATGGAATGGAATAGAAGAGTGAATGGAATGAGTGAACGGAATGAATGAATGAATCAACGCAGGTTGGAAGCAGGAAATGAATGAATAAATGAAAAGAGCGAAACGAGTGAATGAACTGAGTGAAATGAAATGAGTGAAAGAATGAATGGATGAATGGCATGCATGAAGTGACATGAATGAATCAACGAATGAATGAATGGATGGAATGTATGACTGAGTGAATGAATGGAATGCAATGAATGAAATGAAATGAACGAGTGAACGAACGACAAATGAATGACTAAATGGAATGGTTCAAACGAGTGAATCAACAAATGAATGAGTGGAATGAATGAATGGGATGAGTATTGAAATGACTCAATGAATGAATGAATGAATGAATGATTGAATGAATGGCTGCCAACTCTTCAAGAGGAGCTCTTCTTAACATTCTCAGGTTGCCTCAGATTCGGAAGAACCATCTGGCAGAGTTTGCGATGCTAAACGAGGTTGAAGTCCAGTTTGTGAGTTGCACAGCGGTGGGAGCAAGTGGGGACGGCTGCGGGCGGATCAGACGGCACTGAGATGCGCTGGTACAATCCACAGATTTTCCTCTTCGGATGTGTATCAGCAGTTTTGCATGCGTGTATATATATATATATATATATATAAACATACGAACTCAAATATACACACACATACTTACATAATAAGGGAACATATATATATATATATACTTATATGTGTACATATGTAATGTACGTATGTATGTAAATAAGGACGTACAGACACTTATTTGTGTTTGTTTATCCTTCTGCAGTGTTCTTGCCGGGGCGAAGTTCAGAGAAGCGCGTGCCTTGCAGAAAAATCATTCGACACCGAGGCTTTGGCATGACGAAGCAGGCAGGTTCTTCCGATTTACTACTATTGATGATATAAATCTATAAAAGGGGCTCCTTTAAGGGATCTATGGGGTTTAGGGTTTCGTCAAGCGAGTGTGGGGATTACCGGGCGGTGGTAAAGGCCCGGTGCAAAAAGGGTTATGAGATAAATCCTGCATAACCTTAAGGACCCTGAACTATGGGAATTATGGTATATTCCTTATTATGGGTAATGCAGGATGTATATCACTAACCGTAGGTCTCCCTGTGGGCCCTGTTTCCCTTTTTGAAGTCTTGGGTTCCTTACAAAGGTACCCAGTACTTCTAATCCTAGGTGACGGTGCATCCTAGTGTAGCGATTAGGATGTTCTTTCAGACCTAGGCGTCCGGGGCAGCCGGTGTCGAGAATTGTCCGACATATCGTAGGATTCAGAAGTTTAGGCTATCGATTTAGGGTTTGAAGTTTAGGGTTGGGTTTGAGGGAGTCTAGCCTGCATAATGATTGGGCTTCAGGTCAAGTGTCAAAAAGATATCGCAGAGCTCCAACTCATTGCATTGTGCAGCAGGTGAAGAACACCGGCTCGACTGCTCGGGACCACTTGGCGAATGAGCGACACCCGTCTGCAGACCTGGCAGCTTCCTAGTATTCCGCTTGGCTCTTCGGGACCATTGGATTGCGAGATACTCTACTACAATATGGTAACTATCATATACTCTACTATAGAGTACGGGGTTAGGATTTCTACTTGTCGCAGACTGCAGCCTTGCAGCATGGGGGGATCAGCTGTGCTTCGGGCAGAGACTTCTAGGCTCGCGGCACGGTGCTTTTCGATTCTTAGCCTTAGTAGCCTTATAGGGGTTTATGGTAACCCTTAAGCCCAAAACGTAGACGGTGAACCCTCGGCTGGAGGGAGGAAAGGCTTGGTTGCGATCGTGAGCCCAAAAAACAGATGTGGGCACCAGCAGGGACGAGTGATGCGAGGCCAGTGCTCTCCTGATGTCAGGTGTATCTGCAGGAGTGGCAGCAAACAGATGTATCAAGTCCGACTTGAAAGTAGACTACGCGGGGAGTATTCTGTCGGTCTGTGAAGACCTCGCGTCAGACTACTGCTAGATGCGGCCAGCGCATGCCAGTGCTGCCCTGTTGCCAGTCATGTTCTTATCATGTTCCTACGTGCTTTCCATAGGTACGTTTCTGGCATGGCTGCGCACGGGCTTGTCCCTTGTGGGTGCGGGCTTTGGCATCATCAAGTTCTTACCAGGAGTCACTTGGAAGCCCTGACATGCGATACTGCTTTGACAGTCTTCGAAATACAAACAATAGCGCTTGTAAGAGGAATATAGGGGTCATAACGACCTGATACTCCTCATATGATTATACCATGATCTTCCTCAAGCCTCATTTTGATTGTTAAGACGTTCATGGTAGATGTAACGAGTCGACAGAGTGTTCTAGCTCTGGCCGGATAGTGTATACCTGGAAGGCTCCATGTGTCGCTTCAATTGTAAAACTCAGCTCCATACCGATTCATAGAGGGATCAACGACTGGAAGGCCTCGAACAAGTCCTCCACATGAAGACGACGTATTCGTTTTTTAGATAGCATTTCCTCCTCCAGAACCAAATATTGCCATGAACATGTTATTGACATTGTCAAGAATGTCCTGTCAAGCTCTTGGTGTTAGTGCACTCATCGCTGCTCCGGTACATGTAATTTATACTACAATATTACTACAATATGTGCGATCTCGGGCGGACTGCTTTCCTGTTTATAAGGTGTCCTTCCGCTACGGTGCAGCCTATAGTCTAGTCCCATATGATGTGCACACTGACATACACTGACAGGGCCCTTTGGGATGGGTTTAGTGTAGGATTTGGGGTTTAGGTCTCATCCAAGAAGCTTGGCTGAAATGCAGGGCTTAGTGCACTGCAGTCCCTGCTCCAACAAGGTTTCCTCCAACTTCTTACTATAATATCCTTTAGTACGGCATATTAAGGCAAGTCATATAATGGTATAGTATGTTATATTCTAGTTACCATGGTTTAGGGCGGTAGAGTAGAGTATAGTATAGTAGAGTTTAGGTTTCCTCCAACTTCGTGATGGGCTTCGCCCTCATCACGGTGGGTGTCTTTGTGCTGCTCTACTCCGCAGCCAGGAGCGGCTATGGTCCGGGATCCCTAATATACCCCATAGGCTCCATCGTAGTTCCTTTTTGGGATTACGCTATAGGATACTAATTAGTAGCCCCCAAAAAGGTACTACTATGGATCCCGAAAACAATCAGGGACGTCAATACTTGTCAGAAATTGTTATTATTCCTTGCGGTTGCTTGTTGTACTTGTAGCATACAACTTAGTTCTTTGATTAGTATAGTAGAAGCTACCCCCGCCTACTCCAATTATTAGACATGCCCCCACGAGTTCCCTGCCGGTGTGACTTTGTCAGCTGGGCGGGTGGAACAAATTAGAAAGGCCCCTGCATTAATCCCAGACCTTGAAGCCTTCTCCCTTCCCCGACGCTACACTCAATCTGGATCTCCAGCTAGGGCTTTGTGGCTGGGGTGAACGGTGAAAGGGCAAGGCATTCTGGGCTTTCAGAGATGACTTAGAGTTGCAACTCCGGCTTCTGAGGCTGGCATGCATGAAAGAATGCAGAGATATGCATACACATCTGTACAGGCACACACACACACACACATATATATATATATATATTTAAAAATAATGTATGTACATGTATACAAGTTCTGTTTATGTCTATATATGTATGTGTTTGTATACATATGTAAGGATTTACATATATATATATATATATATATACCTATGTATGTATATATGTATTTATTTGTTTATGTACATATATATATAGTCATGCGTACATACGTATATGCATACGTATACGGATAGTGGAAAGACCTATGCATAGACGTTTTCATGTGCATGTATACATACATACTTGGACATACAGACAGACAGGCATGCATGCATCACTTACGTACATATTCATCCACAAACAAACAGACGGACAAGCAAGCAAGCAAGCAAGCATGCATGCTTACGCACGCACACATACCTACACGCATGAACACACACACACACACACCGACGCAGACAGACATCCATCTATCCTTCCATCCTCCCACCCATACACATACGTGCATGCACTCACATATACACACATGTACATACACATATACATATACATACATGTATGTTATACTATGTATATATACATTCTCATGTACATATACATTCACATATGCACGCAGACATGCATATATGCCTACATGCATACATACCTGCCTACCTTACATATACACATACGGTAGACATATTTGGATGCGCATACACATACAAATTAATACATACACCACGACACCTGCAAAATAACAAACCTACATACATACCTCCATACGTAACATGTATACACACTTAATGTATATTATCGATCTCTTTGATTTGCAACACTAGGCCCACTAGGCTGTCAGGAGTATAGTGGTTCAGTCATTCTCGCATTGCTGAAATAACTACAGGCATAAATGCTTTAGCACATGACTCGCGGAGACTGGTCATGTGCAACCGCATCCACGGGTACGCCGAGTTATTCCCTTCAGATGCTTACATAAAGTACCACATTCTGCGGAAGCGGTACATCTACAGTGACAGAAAGCCGCGCAAATATCTTCGTGCTTCGTGGGAATACATGACGTTCAGTGCCAACAGAGTCATTGAGATGCTGGTCCAGTGTTTCGATGCTGGCGGTAGTCATCCACATAGACTATGGGGAGCAATACGACCCAAGAGCGCGCCCATGCAGATCAACCTGGCGGGAGGGGCTCGGGAAAGACTTTCAAGCCAGACCAACATGAACCACCCGCCGGCCGCGGGAAGGGTATTCCCTTAATCCCAACCCAAACTCACACACCCACCCCAGCAAGTGGGCTTCATGCCATGGGGAGGCGGGTATGCATGTGTATGTATTAAAACGTGTAAATGCATGCATATGTATTTGTATTTGCATGTGCACGTGGATGTGTATGTGATGCGTGTGTGTGTGTGTGTGTGTGTGTGCGTTCATGTGTGTGTGTGTATATATACATATACACGTGTTGTACATACCAAACAAACAACACAACAAACAAACCAACATACAGATACAGATATGCATGCATACTCATCCGTACTTACATACATCCATATGCGTGTGTGTTTGTTCATTGTAAGTTTATGATATGTACATATTGTACGCGTGTTATCTCCCTCTATATCTATATCTATATATATATATATATACACATATTATATATATATATATATATACACGTATCTACATGTGTGTGTAGTTGCGCGTGTGCTTGCACGTGCGCCTAGGTGTGCGCATGTGCACACATCAGAGTTGGTCATGTGCATGCATAATGTGCCCGTCTATGTATGTGCCATAGTTTCATAAATATCGTTTTACATTACAGTTGTACATATATATATATATATATGTTTGTATGTATATGTTTCCGCTTAGACTTACATTTTAAATTGTACTTCAAAGCATCATATCATACTTCGTTGTAATATGCTTGATGCGATTGCATAGGATATTTTGTTATAGTATAGTATCTCATTACATAATACAAATACTATGCTATATTTTCATGAAAGTGTGTGTATTGACATGTGTATATAAATATATGTATATGTGATATGAATGTCTTCATCCCTTCCGGAGCAGACAGGCACAGCCTATTTAGGAGTTCTGCACGCCAGGTATTTCGATGTGATGCATTGCCTGGAGCAGGGGGAGTTCTCGGTAGACACAGGCCGGATTTGGTTGCATGCGCTGTTCGGTATGCATGGCAAGAGAACGAAACAGACATGAATGGATGTGGATTTGAAAACGCATGTACACATGTGTACATACTATGCAATCTGTAACAATTTGTTGCTGTGTGCTTATGCAACGTGCAGCGGCGCGCAAGTATATTGCGGACATATGTATGCATGCACCTTTCTCAGATGGCACAGCACAACGGCTTCAGATTCTGAACACCACAACACCTCGCAAAGCAGGCGGCATTGTGCTCGTGGTGGTTGCTGCCGGGCTGCTCGAGTTCTTGGTGATCTGCATTGTTCTCGACCATTTATGGAACCATCAAGGCCAGCGGCATAGAGCCGAAGGAGCTTCAAGTGAAGTTCTGGGCAGGACGAGTTTGGGGCAGGAGGTTATTCGTCTTATGCCTCGGATACCATGGTTGAGAGTTGAGTTGAGCTCCTGCAGTCACATGGGGCCGCTCTCCTCTCTCTTGGTCTTTCTCTCTCCGTTCTCTCTCTCTCTCTCTCTCTCTCTCTCTCTCTCTCTCTCTCGCTCCCTCTCTCTCTTCTCATGGTCTCGCTGTGTCTGTTTGTAGGTATGTCCGCATGCCTGCATGTAAATAGGTAGGTCTGTAGGTATATATACATGTGTATATATATATACACATGCATACATGTACTGGTGTAAACATAGGTTTTCTTGTTCCTATATCTGAAATTTCTTCTTATGTTATAGGTGAAAAGCTTATCATACGCATGAGTCATGAGAGTCATGAGGACAGGTTGGCACGAGTTGTGGCAAGAACCATGCGTCCTTCCAGCACAGCCTCCGTTCTGCACTCCATTGTTTGTGTTGTGTGTCCAATGCGTGCCCGTTCTGCCTGGACCTGAGATGCTGCGGCCGCAAATGCCAACCACTAGTAACTAGTACTTCTACCCAGTTCAGCATGTGCGTGCACCGGCGCAAGCTGCAGGGTGCCTTCTTGTTTGGACCTTGCCGAATTACGTCTGACCTCTAGGGATATCGTCCCCGCAACTCATCCGGCTTTGGCGATCAGTTCCCTTGTTTGGCAAGAGCAGACAAGCTACGGCTCCCTCCAAGAAGTCTCACACATCACTGTGCACCAGCATTGAGATTTCTATCTTTTTCGGCTATGTTTTGTTGTCTTCTGGCACGAGGTGCCGGCTATGTACGGTGGCGTCGCAGCACTCAGAACTATATACTATATTTTTGCAGCTTCGAGTCGGCTTCACGGCAGTCACGGACGAAAATCCCTAAACCCGAAACCCTAAACCCTAAACCTGAAGACCTTGCCAGGCTTAGTCCGAGTGTGAGTATCAAAAAACCCCTAAACCCTAAGCCCCGAAACCCGAAACCCTAAAACCCTAAACGCTTAACTCCAAGAAGCCCTGGAGGTCTTCGTCCTGGCGTGGGATGAGCCCGAGGTTCTCGCAGAGGTTATTTTCAGAAAGACGATCGGCGATTAGAGTACATGTATAGTATATCTTAAAATACAATATACTAAAATGTTTATCATGAAAGAGCCGCCGCAGCAATCGAGCGATGAGTCATGCTAGTACAAGATCAGATAATGAGGTTCTTTTCCACAGTCTACACGCTTGTAGTTCCGTAGTCCCTACGCCAAAAAATCCCTACAAACTCCTCCCAAGAGCCATACACAGGGCAAAATGCCTGCACGTTCTCAGCCCAGCTGCACACTGTGGGTCCCAAAGTGGCCCTCAGATAGTTTCCGAGGATCGTGGTGCTAAATGTGACCCATCAGCTTGCGAGCATCGTGAAAGTTGTGGCAGTTTCGGGGTTCTTCGAAGTGTATCTTGCTCTAGAGCTGCCTGTGGTGTCGTAACAGAATAGAAACGTGCATGCCTGGTGACCTACACACGCATTACAAGTGAACCCCCCTTGGATTTATTCGTATTTCTCGGTATATGATGCTAAGGATACATAACTTAACCAAAGACCGTGCTTCGAGAATGTACATCCTCTAGTTTGGGTTCTTTCAGGTCATCATTACAGCTTAAGCCATGCCGTGATATTGACCATGGCAGGACAGACAGTATAGGACAGCATACCACGGCAAGTACTGTTTCACAAGCGCTGGTCAGATAGTCGTCACCAGACTTCCAACGCAGCAACGTGCAGCTTCAAGAACCTTCAGCTGCCCAGACATTGACTTCTTGCTAGATAGCCCTGTCCCACTCAAGTACCATAGAATTTCTATCACGGGAGCCATCTACAAAGAGGCAAGTCATTGCTACACCAGATGTGACTATGCATCCGCATAACACGCAGTACCATGCAGATTAGACGATCAAGAGATACAATCTGCTTGAGCTTTAGTTTTAGAGTGAGCGAGCTTCATGTTCTCATACACCGCTTGCTTCAAGAAAATGCGGCGGAGCACTCCCACAATGATGTGACGGTCAACGCAGTAAGCTTTGTCTGGTTCTTGCTCTGCTCAGCTTGCTATAGAAATCCGGCCCGAGGGCACACGACTACTTCTTCAGCCTCGTCGTAGAAGACTGTGCAGGTTCACTCACCTAGCGGATCGAGGTGTTTTTTGTAGCCCCACGATGCCTTGTCTTCCAGAACAGTTCCGCAGTAGTGGGTCTCTCGGCTCAGGTCTACATCCCTGAAATCCTCCAAACCCATACCAAAGAGTGGCCATTTCGAGCTGTATGAAAGAGAGAGACACTGCGCAGGTCCGGATAGTCGCAGCAGTCTACACCCACTGTGCCTGGACTTGTAGAAGCAGGAGCTCGTTGCGGCAGTGTAAGATGCTGATGTTGATAGCCATGAATAGCCTGATAGCACGATGGCCTCTAAGCATATACTGGAAGCAGATGGGGCAGAAGACAAGGGCGTGCAACGCACAAAGACGACCACCGCCATCACTACCCACGACTCAAAATTCGTCACCGGGAGTATCCAGTAGCAGCAGCAGCAGCAGCAGCGGGTTCATGAGTTTAAGGTTTACCTGGTCCGTGCAGGGTGCGAGCTTAGAGTAAATGCAGCAAGTGGAACGGACTCGCTGACACTTGGGGATACCTAGGACAATACGGACAGTGGGCACATCCTTTCACATCTGGTGGACTAGCATGCATCTGCTACATTTATGAGGCACTACATGTTGAAATTGCAGCTGCGCTCGTATCTTCACTGAGTCGACAGCGCCAGAGGTGCAAAAGCTGAAATCCATGAATACCCTGAAGCCAGATGCTGAACCCAGGCTTGTACCCGCAGCCCTTCCGTCCTCCTCAGCCGCAACCAGGTATGTGAGGATGGATGGATGTAGGTACGTGCAAGAACGTTTAGGTGAGTTACTTGACGGGCTTCATAAAAGAAGGTGTGCATCTGTGTGTGTATAATCTATATATATATATATATATATATATATGTAAATATAGATGCGCACTCACACATGTGTATGTATATAAACCTATATACGCATGCGTTGATCGAGCTTGCCTTAGGCCATGCAGATCATGCGCCTCGGCTGAAAAGGTTCCCTGTAGCCGGCCCGACCCCTTGACCGGCCTGTACTCGTACGTATAAAGTTTGGCGCTGTAGGGTTTTTGGGCTTCACATGGAAGCAGCAAGTTTCTAAGGTGGGTTTCCGTGAGATTGCAGAAGTTTCGAATCTGGAGGCATCAATTTCTCTGCCAACAGGGCCCAGCACTGCAGTCATTGTTTTTGATGAAGGGAGTCATGGAAGCCCGGCCAAAAATCAGATGACAACGTCAGAAAGCCAAAAACCTCAGCAAATACCTAACGTAGGGGCCTTAATAATTACCTATACCATGTTGGGGTTCCTTAATACATTTACAGAGAAATATACCCCGAGCGGATTCCTTGTTCTAAGAACCCCCAGCAAGGAAGCTCTCATTGTCTGAACTCCTTCTAGCAGAACCTTGGTTACTGCCCCCACTCAGTAACAGTTGAACGTTATTCATAATATAGATACATTAGGACTTTAATCGTAGCCCTACTATAGACTGTTACTGTATGGGGACGCAGTACCCAACAGAACCTATAGAACCTTCAAAGGAACCTTCAGCATGACCCTAAACCATCGTTTCTGACTTGATTGCAGAGCCTTACAGCCATACACACTACCATTTTGGAATTAGGTCCTAAAAGGCCATCCCTATTATGGTTTTGGGGCCTGGTTCAATAATGGTAGTGTGAAACTTTAAAAGGAGCCCTTAAACGAACCTCGAAGCTTAATTGCTTGCGTAGGACCCTACAGGACGGTTGCAGGAGCCCTTACAGGAATCTTAAAGCCCATGATCGGAAATCTAGGACCTTAAGCAAAGGCTGACGGAATCCTACAGCCATCTAAACCCCAACTTACTTTCTGAAGCCATGATCTCTGGCCACATACCCTACGCCAGCAATGCAGGAGGCAAACAAAAAGCTTAATCCACCCAAACTACAGCCGTAAAGGAGCTTCGACTAGAAAGCCTTCTAAACCGCCCAAATCCTAAACCCCAATACCCTAAACCCTAGACCCTTAAAGCCGAAACCCCAAATTCCCTCAACCCTATAAACCCCTAGGCCCTTAAAACCCTCTAAACCCCAAAGCCCTAAACCCCTAAAATCCTAAAACCCCCCTAAACCCTAAAGCCCTAAACCCCCTAAAGTCCTAAAGCCTTAAGCCCCTAAAGTCCTAAAGCCCTTTTCCTTATAAGGCCGGAGGCTCAGGAGTCCCAGGTTGCCGCGAGGTGCGTCGTCGCGGGGTTGAGGCCGGGTCGGCTGCTTGTGGGAAGTCTTAGGGTAAAAGCCAGAAAGTTGGAACATGATTATCCTAAACCCTTTATGGTAAATTATAGGGTATCCTACCCTGAAACCATATTCCAACTTTCTGGAGTTCCCTTTAGGGTTACGATAGGGGCCTAAGAAATTACCTATACAGCCCCAAGTCCCTAGGTGGGGAGCCCATCTGCTAAAATAGTTCCTAAACCCCAAACCCTAATTGGAGGGGCAGGGGACATAGTAAGTAGGTTGTAACTAGAGTTATAAGTGCCCTAAATGGAGTTTCCCAATTATAACTGTAAACGACTTACTAAGTCCCCTGCGCCTCCAAGTAGGGGCCTAAATAATTGCCTATACTAGTTTGGGGCTTCCCGATCATAATTGTTGTATACTATATCCCAAAACCCTACTCTAATGGTTAAGGCTCGTATAGTGTAGGGTTGAGGGCTTATAGGCTTAGTCTAGGGTTTAGGGTTTTGTTTAGGGCTTAGTTTAGGGTTTAGGGTTGAAGTAGTCTTAGGGTTATAGGGGAGAGGGTTGATCGAAAGTGATAGAGTTTAGGAGTTAGGTTCGTATGTTGCAGGCATACGCGAGCACATATACGTATAGGTCGGTGGGTGGTGTTGCGGGGCCGTTGGGTGCGCACCTGCAAGCCCTACTTGGATTGGCAGGGGGCTTAGTAAGACGTTTATGAGTAGGGTTATTTATAAGTCCCCCCAAATAATCTCGAAGACTAAGCCCGAAAGCCTTGATTTCCTGGGTAGGGTTTGGGCGGTCAAGCTCGGGTTCACGGATTTGGTGCCCTAAGGATCCATGTGCCTAAGTAGTGTACACTTAGGCCTTAAAAGGAGTCCCTAATTGGTACTTTGGGGCTTTGAAGTATATACTATGTGAGTACATGGATCTTTTTTTTGGGGGGGGGGGGGGGGGGGGGGGGGGGGCTTTAGAGCAACCGAGGGCGAAGCAGTCGAAGCTGACTTACCGGGCCCGACAGGCTCAGGGGTACTTAGAGAACCGTTCTAATCTTTGAGCCCAATAATAAGAAACAGCGAAACTTGTAAATTTGCTAGGGTTCTAGGATCAGTACAGGCTTGCATGTTGAGGGGGTTGGATGATGATGGTTTTTTTCTGGCTCATTGATGGGAGGGAGTGGGTTTTCTTGAGGTGTTATGGCATGCATAGCTTTGGAAGCCCTCTGTGGCGAGCTGCATGTTGTTAGATTCAGGATGAGCTTCAATCTGTTGAAAACCCTCTTCACCTTCGTCTACATGCTTCCTTCACAATCGCACACCGGCCATGCTCCAAAACATGTTGGCTGTTTACTCCCTCGTCATTACCCTCTACACTATGTTCAGGGTGTCTTACGGATGATAGAACTGTAGCTCTGAATGCGTCGCCCTGGCATTCCCGCATGTAATGCCGTAATATAAGCCCACCAAGCCCTAGACTAATTGCATCTAATCATTGAGACCACTATATTCGGTGTGTATAACATCTGAGATGACCCGATCTCCGAGAGGCTTGGGCGTGCAAGTTTGACGTCCCTGCCTCGGCGCTTGCTGGCCGGGGGTTTGGGCAAAAAGAGGATGGCTCTGAAGAACACCCCCAAAAACCCCTTTTAAACCCTGAAGCCTCTAAGCCCTAAACCCTAAACCGCCTCTATAAGCCCTACAACCCTAACTCCGAACATGTAGCAGGCCGCATGATCATAAAGCTCCCGAGCTACCAAAATTTTGGGCCCAATTCCCCAACACCCCTATGTCCTGTCAGGCTGCAATTTTAGATGTGTGGTTGGTATCCCTAAACCCTGAACCCTAACGTGGCATGGAGCCTGAAATAGAGCTTTCGCAGGAAATCCAGGACCTCGGCAGTCATGAGAGGCATTCCTAGCTCTGTTGCAACACAGATTTGGCGAGGACACGCTAAAATCTTGGAATACAGACTGTTTTGGGACAAGTTGAGACACAGGCATCTTCCCAGTTTAATTAGACAGTTAGTCTACAGTTTAAACTGGGAGTTGAACGGCGAGTTTGCGATATCGAATATCGAATCCGTGTATGTGAGAATGATTTGAATCAGGACAAACAACTGGTTAATTCCAGCAACCTATATACGTGAGTGAGAGGTTTGCTGGTGCAGGCTTTTAGGCTGCACCCTAAACCTCAAACCCACACAGAGAGAGATCAAGTAAGGCCGATGCCATTCGCAAACAGAATGAGCTCCTTCAAGAGTCAGGCTCGTCGTGGGTTCGATGATGGAGTTAGCGTTGTAGGTTCAGGATACTCAGAAATCAATTCTATAACGTCGGACGTACTTGGCTTCCCCATGCTTTGGGAGACGTTGGGTGGTGCCTTCCTCCTTGTTCTATGGACTCTCTTGGAGGGCTATGACCTGCGATGCTCCGACTGTTTCTAACGGTTCTTGGCTCTTGGCAGCCGATCCACTATTCTGCGGTGTTGTCGACGTTTCCACTATTACCAGAGTTTATAGAGTCTAGGCTCTAGCGTCTCTAGAGTACCTCGAGTGTTTTTGTGCTCAGATGGTGCATCATCCATGTAATGGCGCGGGCACACAGCAGATCTCTTGGAGCTCGGCGACGGTGATGTCGTTCCCATCGGCGCCATGGCTGTGCATGTGCCAAGCTCAGCTCCTTCTTGCTTGTTCGGCTCTGTCAATTCAGGCACGGATTCCGACATTGATCGAATTCGGCCATCCGCAAGTGCAGAGGATGCATCGTACACCAACCAACCTTCAGCTTCAGACAGAACTGAAACATGTTTGTTTGTGCTGGCGTCGCATGCCCCGGGTGCCTACTATTCTCGGAGGTTCATTCATATTATGCTGGCCCAAAGACCCTATTCTAATTATTGAGGCCCCTATACGAATGTGCTTAGGGCCAGTCTAGGTTTTACGGCTTTGTGTTTGTACTTCAATTCAATCCGACTTTTTGTCCACGCTGAAGCATCTTCCACTTAAATTTGCACTGGATCAACTCGAAAGACAGGCCAAGATTCCTGAAGGGCTCCCAGAGACTCCAATATCCCTTAACTAAGGAATATACTTCAAATTATAGTAGGATCCCGAACTTGATTTCAGGAATATTCCTTAATTAAGGGATATTGGAGTCTCTGGGCTGTTTTCTGCGGCTCTGGTTTCCGAGCTTGCCGTACTATTGCTTTTACAGCCAGCCGCATGTTCGTCGCCTTGAGCCTTAGTGGACGCGTCCACAAACCCGGATCCTGCGAAACAGAGAGGCCTTGTTTCAAAGCACAACTGTCCAGAGGTTCCGATAGGTGGAAAGCAGAGGTGGAGCTGGAACCCAATCGCCCAACAGAATGCCTTGCATCGGGCCAAGAAAATGCTGTGGGATGTTCCCTAAGCTTCCTAGGTCGAAAATCAATCCACGCATGCCCTGCTAGGTTCGACTTTCGTCTCCGGACTTTCACGCCCCAGGCCTTCAAAACGAGGCCCCAAAGTCAAGCCCCAACGCTGGACAGTCCTCCCTGAAGTCATCTTCGGAATAGTGCTGAGAATAGCACAGGGAGGATGTGCTAATATTAAGAAATACAAGCTCTGTAAGCCCCAGTACCCTGAACTCTCCTCCAAGGTTGTAGAGCACCACGCCGTCTGCCCATATAGCACTCGCTAAACTCTTAATTAGGGTCCCGTTTCATGGGGGCTCCTTAAAGGGATCTAAAAGGGTTTCTATGGGGTCTCTATGAGGGTGGCGCATGGGTAGGTCTCTAAATTGAAATTAGTTTTTTTGGGTACCCCAAATGTCCCGTGCCATACAATATTAAGGACCCAAAACAAAACCTACTTCGGTCTAGGGTTTAGTCTGGATGGCTGTCCCAAACTTGATTTACACCCAAACCCAAACCCTAAGAGAAGATGCGTTATACTCTTTCTGATCGACTCTTGACGGGGGGGTCCCATCGATGGCAGTCCTGGGTTGGCTCGATTGACTCGAAAGAGCAGCCTTGATACATTGGCCGTAATGCTTCGAATAGGATTTTTGGGGGAAGGCATGATGCAACACATGGTGACCATGCTTCGCTCTCACTTGGAAGTTTAGAAGCATATACAGCTTACAACCCCTCAAGCTCGAGACCCTAACCTTAAACTGAAGCTCCTTGGACATATCGTAAACCCTGAACCTTTTAATTGTTTACAGCATTTCTTCTCTGCGGTTCTGAGGCGATCCATACGCCAGGACACACACCAGGCTATGGGCCCAGGGTGTTGGCGGTAAGTGGGGTCTAGGGCCTAGGGCTTCATAGCTGGGGCTGCAGGCTGCAAGGGTCGAGCTTGTTGACGGGGGGTGGAGGGTTCGGGGTCTTCGAGACCTGAAACTAGGGTCGGGTTCGGCTTGTTGTGCTTCGGTACTAGTAGGACATCAAATGCAGACTGCATACGAGCATTGGCACTGAGAGCCACCTGCGGCAGCAGCACCGCTATCGCCACCAAACCCACCCTATGTGTCATTTTCAGCATCTTGCACCCGCTCCGGATGATGATTCTCGTGTTTTATGCCAGGATGGATCGCATGCAGAGATGCTTTCACAAGTCTTGGGTGACCCGGGTTCACATCTCGTCGTTAGACATAGGCTAACTGACTGCTTTGTCTTGCTTGGTAAGGCAGTCGAGCCGCAGCTATTCATGCCCAATGCCAAAACTAAAGCTAACGAAGACTAACAAATTCTATGTCTCACCTGCTGGTGCTGAACTTCTGAGAGATGCGCACCATCCAGACCAAAATTGACGTCTCATCTGCTGGTGCTCGGCCTTTGAGAAATGTGGTCTATCCAGAGCACTTCTCGCACGTGGCCGTGCCCTTCAACACGAATATGGTCTTTCCGGCACTTCTATGCGTGTGTTTTCTTCTTCTGCACGAGCGACGCGTGGAGGCGGGAGCAAAGCCCCTGCTAGCAGATCACCGTCGCAACAGCACGGTGCTCCTGCAGACGGCATTTCTGGCATTTTGGCTGGTGCCCTTCCTCATCGACTCCATGTTCATTCCCTTATCACTGGATTTTGCTTTGGCTATGGGAGAGTCTGCAACTGCCAGTGGTGTTTTTCTCGGGACAGCAGCCGCTGGTTCTACTGTCGGGATCATCATAGGGCGGGGCTTCACCAACGAGACAGACTGGAATCAGAAGTATGCTCGAAAGATATTTCTGTACATGTACGGGCTTTCCTTGATGGCCATGCCGGCTATAGCTATAAGCATCCAGGCTTCTGTTGACTGGAGCCTTGATTCCAAACGGAAGGTCTTTTGGTTCGTGGTTGTGCTGAACTTTTGCACCACATGTGTCGGTAGCATTCCAGTCGTTGCCTGGAGCACCATGTGGAACATGATCACGCCACAGAGCGAGAAGACTTTCTGGATGATGCTGACTCAATCCGCACGAAACGCAGGGTTCATTCTGGGGCCTCTCTACTTGACCGGCCTTAGTCACTTCGTTCGAAAGGTCCGAGATGTCCGTGCTGTATCCCCCATTAGCATGATGAGCTGGGCTTTCATGGGCTCCTTTCTCATCCAGTTTGTCGAGCTGGTAGCCTATGCCTTGATCATCCCCACCCACCTTCAACCCGCGGCTGATGCAGAAGAGGTCCGACGGTAGCACGTTTTGTGGAGCTTTCAGCTGCTCACCAAATATAGGCGCCGTAATCATCAGAATAGGGGTTCGGGGTGTACTGTTATACTGTATTTAAAGGAAGGAAGCCCTAAAAGAGTATATAGAGGCAAGTAATTGGTAAGGCCCTGATATTGAAGCCTTCCCTAGTGCCCAGACGCCTGGGCTTCTCGAGAGCTCGATGCGAGGTGGAGATCTTGTCCGAACAGGAGGCTTCAGATGTACATCCGGAGAAGCTGCCAGCAAAAGCTCGCGAGCAGATGGTGTGGGATGTGGTCTTCTACTGCTCCTAGATAGGCCTTTGGGACATTTCATACTTTCTCGTATTGCGCCTAAGAGGATATTTTTTCGAAGTTTTTTTCAGAGACCAGGCCCTAAGCCCCTAAACCCCTGAACCGTAAATCGAAAAAACGCTAAACCCCTTACTTTAGAGGGCCAAGAACCGAAAGAACCGAGGCTACGAGCGAACATTTTCCACAGGAGCCATCGAAGTCGCCACGATCATGCTTCTCGAGGTGGGCGATTCTCAAAACTATGTTCCCCTTTTGGGGTCCCTTTTGGGGTCCTTATTATAATACGGCAAATATTATTTAGGGTACCCAAAAAGGGACCCTAAGTTTGACAACCGCTCAGGTTTCTTACGGGTGGTCTCCAGAACTCTCGGGAGTGTCATTCGTTGTGATTGCCGCAGGGAGCTTGCTACTTACTGGAGTGTCTGCCATGGTTCTCTCGAAGAAGCTCATGACAGAGTCCAGGATCTTTCTAATCATGACATGCTTGGGCTTCGCTGGGTCCATTATGCTCTTTGACTTTCACTTCTTTGGTGCTGGCAGCTTGTTGGCTGCTGATGCCTTGGTCTATGGTGGAGCGAGCGTTGCTAACGGCATTGCTGAAGGTTGGGCATGTCGTGCGGCAACTGCTGGAACAGCATACAACATCGAGACCTTTCGAGCGCACAGTGTAGCCGGCGTGAATGTCAGCCGGTTTCTTGCCCCGATCATTGCACGATTCCTCTTGGAATTCGGGGGCCGCAACCTCTATGCAGCCATGCAGTCGTTCCTGTGCTTCGTGGCGGCAGTCACAGTTCATCGGATTGTTTCCTCCGCGACGGCATCTCAGCAGGCTGTCAAAGGACATGCTAGCCCGGACGAGAGTGCAAACTCCGGGGCAGCGAGTGTCACCACTCAAGACTGAGTCGACCAGAGGGCGCAGCATGCTGAGAAGCCAAACCTCCATTTCCAGGCCTCTCACTGTTGCTACATGACGTACGACCCACGACTGCAGGTAACATGACACCAGTCAAATTTGCATACACCAAAAGCCCTGCGTCCGAAGCTGTTTCTACAAGAAGCTCATGTAGCGTGTGTAGTAGGGACATGTAGTGGTAGGCCTATCTTTCAACCGTAGCAGAGCTCAAACTTGGCTAATTTCCTCGGAAAAAAGCTGATCTTCAAGGACCTTAACTTAAACCCCTTTACTATAAACCCCGCCTTGCTAGGGAGGAGTGTGCAAAACCCTAAAACCCTAAACCCTAGAACCCAAACTCTCCCAGGTTCTATTTGCTTGTACCTTCCTGCATCGGGATGTCTTACTCCACGATCCGAGGCAGGGGGAGCGGGCAGCGAGGGAAAGGATCAATGTAAGGCTGATGAATATTTGTTGCTGCTGACCCAGGTAGTATATAACAATAAATATGTACTCATTAATTATGTGACACATATCACTATGTGAGTGCTGACTAAACGGACAAACGGATCAACTACAACGCACTTGACCTCAACTTCATGAAAGAAAGAAACCCTGCGAGGAACGGCCGGTCGATTAGAATCCAGCCGCAGTTCGCACTAACAGTGGCGCGGAAGGACGAGAACCCCTACAACCGAATTCGCCCTGAATCTATGACGAAGAAGGAAATCATATTTGTCAAGATGTCCAGCTGATTTGCTTTGGCGGAACCGAGCATTGTTCGTTCGTTGGTCCAGGTGCAGTGAGGGTCACAGAGCTTAAACACAGGTTCACAAGTGTTTCTTTAAGGAGCCCCCCAACAAAAACCTATTCTAATCATTAAGGCCTCTACATTAAACCCGATAATACCCCTTATCGTAACCCTTATGGGACCCTTTTTCAGAACTTGCAGGGGCCGGCCTCTGAGAAAGAGATCAGAGTTCCGACCAGCGGCGGGCTTCTCATCAGCCGCGGACTGAGATTTCAGGGCAGAGAGAATCATCTGTCAGCTTTGGGAAGCTGCCTATAGTCTCCATTGTAGTTCCTTTTTGGGGTTACCTTATAGCATCCTATTATGTCTTTGGTTAAGCCAAGAGAAAAGCATTACAATGGAGACTAGAGGTGAGCTCAAATTCAGCTGTGAATCCCTGGCACGTATCCTTTCCAGGCCCTTCCGGCCGGTCTGGTGAAGGCTTGGGGGGTGATCTTCGATTTTATAGTAGGGCCTGGACATGCCGTGATGCTTGGGACCGGGCTCCCGTCGCTCAGGGCCCTAAATCTAGGTGACCTGTTTTCGTTCATTGTTGGTTTGTGGGTTCGACTGCTGTTTGTCTGTCTATCTGTGCGTACGTACATCGTCTGTCTGTCCGTCTGTCTGGTTTGTCTGCATGTACTTGTATGGGACGGACGCATGGCTGGATGGACCGATGCATCTGTTGATGTAGGTCTGAGCTAGATCAGAGAGAGAAATCCTGGCAAGCCGAGGTGGAGACACTCTTTTCGTGCTCGCCCCAGCATTCGGCCCATGTGTGTTCATACCTTGGTGCTGGGGGTGCTGAGTTTATGTTGGGTGTCCTCGTATGGCGTCCGCACAGGTTGATCAAGACGGGTTCTATGCCACCAGGATACTGCTGTTAGATAGAACCCCACAGTCCCTTCAATTATTTTTGAATCTATGTACACTGCCAGGTTTACTCATTCCTCAGGAGACACCAGGGTTCTGTCCATCAGCCCCTTGGGTCCACCCTAAGATACCCGAAGTGGGGCCTCGCCTCTCCAATGGGCATCAATCTCAAAGTCCATAGCTCCTGAAGCTTTGCAGAGCCTGCGTGCAACAATCGGGCCTGTCCTGGGTCCTGTGCGGCTACGAAAGGCCACACCCTAAACCCTACAACCCGCGTAGAACCCTAAACCCTATATAAACCCTCCAAGATCGACCTTGAACCCTATGCAAACCCTCCCACATTGCATGATCATCTAGGATGCCCAGTAGCACCCGTGTTCCCTTGTTGTAGTCCAAGGTTCCTTATAAAGTTACCCAATACCAAAAAAAGGAGCCGTGTTTATTCCTAGCTTGTTGGGCATCCTAGTCATCGTCCTGAGTCATAAGATTCAGGTCGGTGGCGCTGGTCGTACCGACCTCATGGAGTCGAACCATCATCACATGCTGCTTGCCTTAAGCCAGGGGTTCTTTTGCGTCAGCTTACAATAACATGCTGTAAAATACTACTGATATACCAACATGTACCATAAGACAGTATCATAAGTTGTTGAGATTCTTGATCACTCAGTTACTGTTGAGATGGATGTGCAAAGCTGTAGCATGCTTATCGAGGAAGTCGTGCTGTCCCAGTCAGGCTGTTCAAAGCTTCCTAGATCGTGTGGCATGTCGACTGGAGTCTCGGAACTAGAACGCAAGACCTGGAAAATGCAATGTGGGGGCAGCATGCATTGTGTTGCTGCTGAGGCTGCAATCGCTCGAGCGTTTGTGCAAGCTTCCTTCGGACACTGTTGTCTTGCCCGGCCACAACTATGTCCGCTTCTCAAGCTCGCGGGTGTTTACAATTGTCTTTAGCAGGGCCGTCTGTCGACATGCGCTGGTTTATGCTGGTTTGTCGGAGGCTGGTGGCGGGTCGATACTCTCCCTCCTGTGTTATTGTTCACTTTCTGGGTTCGTTTTCTTGTAGGTTGGCGTTTAGGCTTCTGGTTTCGCACATCCGATTGCACAGCTGCATCCGAGAGGTTCTGAAGGATCTGCATGTATTGTTTGGGAACCCGGATAGGGAAGGAATCCGTTCTTTCGAAGGCGAGCGGCTCAGTCCTCAACATTGCCTCAATGCCTCTCCCCACATTGAGAAGCCTCCCTAAACCCTAAACTCTAAACCCTAAACCCTGAACCAGGCCGACCCTTGGACACAAGGAAAAGGGCATTGCATTTTAAAAAAAACCTTAAACCCTATACCCCAAGCCCTAGACCCTAAACCCTAAGCCCTAAACCCTGAAGCTCTAAACCCTAAGCCCTAAACAGCCTTAAACCCTAAAGCCTAAGCACTAAAGCCTCTTTGACAGAGTAAATACTTCAGTGTGCTGCCGGCTTCATCTTCAGCCTTCAAGTGTATGCTAGATTATGCTAGTGTAGGAACCTGATTGAGAAACCCTGGCCCTAGAACCCCATTCTATTAGGATCCATATCAAGACCCCTAATAATAGAGGCCCGAGGTCTCTTAATCAGGTTCCTACATGGGGCCCCCAAGAGCCGATAAGAGTGTGTCCATCGCCATGCGCCGCCGTCGTCATGCCTGGGCAGCCTTGGCAGTCGCAGCCCTGTTTGCCTGGCGGTTCGAGGGCGCTGGCTTTGCTGCTCCTGCTGAGCGCCCCCTGGCAGAGAAGTAGTCTAAGCTAAGTACTAGGCTGAATACGAAGGGTTTGTGTTTGCTCCACATGTCTTCCTGTGCATGTTGGTTCGTTTATGTATATATATATATATATACAGATACATATATATATATATATGTATATACTTCAGGGCTTGAGACTCCTGGCTCATTCATCGGCTAGTGACACCGTGGGAGGGCTTAGCGCTCAGGTTTAGATTCAGATGCCTTCGCCAAGTGTTTCGTAAATCTTGAAGTCTGAGGGGCTTCGTTTCCGTGTGTTAATGTGACGTGCTGGAGGCTCCAACTCTTCCATGGTGTGTGCTTCTGCCGAAGCAGTCTGCCTGTATGCAGTATTCATGTCAGCAGCACATCAGTATGTCAGTATGTCATTCCTGTTCATGTTTCGACAAGCACGACTCGAGGATCGCCCTTGGATCCACCTCCCAGTCCGAAGCACATGCACACGTGCACATGTGTGTATGTGTGTGTACGGTTCTGTACTGTAGCCTTACGTAATGTAGTGTATTGTAATGTGATGTAGTGTAATGGCATGGTTGTTATGGATGTATGTATGTACATATGTACGCATGTGAGTACGTATGTCTATATATATATATATATATATATATATACATATATATGTATATACATATGTATACATATATATATATATATATATATATATATATATATATTTATATGTATGTATGTATGTATGGACGGATGTACGTATATATGTTTTCATGTGTGTATGTATGCGTCTATGTGGGTATGCTGATGCTGCCAATTATGTAGACACAACGTACATATTTTCATATGTTTATTGGTTTATGTGTATATATACAAGTACATGCAGGTCCAGCTATACATACAAACATACATATATACATTATGTGTGTATGTATGCATGTATGTATGCAGATGTATGTATATGTACTTTGCACTTGTATGTATGCAACAGGTATACACACTCATAAATACATAGATAAATAAATAAACAAATATATATATATATATATATATATATATATATGCACATACATACATACATACATACATACACACACACGCATACATGCCCTCGCCTTCTCCCACGACGTTGATATATGCATAATTATACTTACATATGTAACATGCCGGTATGCTTCTTGACAAGAAGGAACCACAACCAGCGAGCAACTCCGTCAGCTCCAGCGACTGAACCGCCTGGCCGAGAATGGCAAGGCCGTGCCTATCTTCCTCGGTATGATGTGGCAGGCTTTTGTGATCAGAATAGGGTTTTGGGGCATACCAACATACTGCTGAACATCATGGCAACTACCAGGGGGTACTATTCCTGATTATGCACAGCTCTATATCAGGATTCAGGGGCTGTTGCCGAGAAGCGTACGACAATTCTCGGTGATGGTACCTACTGTACAGACGGTTCTTCTCCCTGTTGCTTCCGCTGTTGTGCCTGCTTTTCAATCGTGTTGTCATGCTTTCCTTTGAAGGGAGGTTTCCAGCTTGAGGATGATGTCAAATCTGGGACAACACTGCAGTGAATTCTGCTGCACTTTCATTCAGATCGAACCTGTCTGGAAAAGCCAAAATTGTTCAGAGGCCATGTCGCCCAAGCCCAGGGGAGCCCTCAACATTGCCATACGTCCCAGGCTCGACACGATAAGGATCTGGGAGTTTCCGAAAATGAGGGACCTTAATATGGTATCCTCAATAGTAGGATCCTTATTATAACGACCCCAAAATAAGGTACCCCTAATTCTCGGAAACTCCCATCTACATGAACCTCATAAGCCCACGTCCACAGGTGGAGGAGGCAACATCACTGCTTGAAGGAGAAAGCCTCCTCGGATGCTGACGGGAGGCTAAAAGGCCCAGGCTTGAAGATTCAACGCATGTGTAGGCTTCGGGCTGTACGTTTGCAGGGTCATGAAGGCTTAGGCTGGTTTGGCGCGGATTGTGATCTTTTGCTTTGTGGTTTGCAAATAGGAGTTTCCGAAAATTAGGGGTACCTTGTTTGGGGGTCCTTATAACAAGGATACTACTATTTAGGGTATAAAACAAAGGGTTTCCCCATTTTTGGAAACTCCCAAATCCTGGCAGAACAACTCCAGAGCATGTTCTCGAGCTTTGTGGCTCCAGCTTTTTCATGTGCGACTGACATGACTGGGAGCAGGGTCCCGGCCACAGCCAATAGCTGCTTGGCTTCCGCGGACCCCGAAACAATGTGGAGTAAGCTATATCATGAGATGAGTTTGGGGTTAGTCTATGTAGTCTTAAGCTGCCCAAGCAATGTAACATAGTGCACGCTGTGCATGCATCCGCATCGTTACGCGTACGAATGCTCCGCATTCAAATCTCGGATGGCCCGAATCTGAGTGCAGAAACCCTACAAAGCGGGTAGGGTATTGGGCTCAGCATCGAATTTGAAATCCTGCCCACCTCAACCACGCCGACCTCCCGAAGCAAGAAACCGGTGCAGCAGAAGTTGGCCTTGCAGCAAAGCACCAAACAAACTCCCGGTGCTTCCAAAGCCAGGGCGTCTCTATCCCAAAAAGTATAGGTTTTTGGTACAGGTAATTTAGACACACTAAAGAGACAATAGAAAGATGGTTCAGAATTGTGAATGGCAAAAAATTACCACAGGCAAAAGAGGTGTAGTACTGATGGTAGTCAGAAGAGTGTGCGAGCAGCTGAAGCATGTTCAAGTTTGCTGCAGTACTGGATGAGCCCCAATCAACCTTTGCCTGTTGCTTTTTCGGGGCGCAGTGCTCCGAAATTTGGGTACAAGTGTAGAGTCGAAGCAACTTCCAGGCTGAGTGATGGTGTTTGACTAGGTCTGTCGAATCCTTGTATGGCAGTATAGCAGTACGAGCCCGAACAGGGTATGCTTTGTCAACAGCCGGCCCCAAGAAGAGAACCCTAAACCCTAAAACAGCTCTACTGTTATTTATTTGTGAGCAAGCCCTGCAGCAGCATTAAACCCGGTTCAGGGGTTGGGGTTTAGGGGTTCGCCTTAACCCTAAAGAACCTACCTTTTTAGGGTTCCCTATCATGATTTCCTTACATTTGTCATTAAAAAGGTAGGTTCTTGAGGGTCTAGGTAGGGTTGAGGAGTTAGATCACAGCCCTGAAGGACTCCTCCAGGATCAGCTGACTGTCGCCAGCCCACGGGTGATCTACAACACGGGGATCAAGGCTCCCAAGTGGGGGGGCGGGGGGGTTCCGAACCTTAGGGGTTCCTTTAAAGGGATCTATAAGGGTTCCTTAGAGGGATCTATAAGGGTTCCTTAAAGGGATCTATAAGGGTTCTACAAAGGGTTTAAGGTTTAGGGTTTCCGAACATTAGGGGTACCGTACTTTGGGGTCATTCTAACAAGGATCCTACTACTTAGGGCACTGTATCAGGGTCCCCTGTTTCCGGAAAGTCCGAAGTGGGGACTGTGACTGTTTTTGTTTTTCCGCTTCACGTGTGTTGTAGGGACGTAAAGAAAAGTGACAGTATCTGTCATGAGCCCCACTTATCTTACCACAAAGCTATAGAACAAGACCCAAGCGAAGAAGGGTTTTGGGTGGAGGCAAGATGGGACGGTTCGCAGTGCCACAACATTTTGCGACGCTGGCATAGGCTGTGTAGGAGGTTGCCGTCCACATCAGATAACTTCTGGGTAGCTGGATGAAACTGGAAGAAGAAATTTCGTGCGCCACTCTCGCAAGGTTTTTTTGTTTGTAGCCGGGACTAGCATCTCATCGAAGTCCATCGCCCCCTAAATGACTTCTTGGCAAGTCCTGGCGGCTATTGCAGAGGAAAGCTCATGATATGTTTCCTGTGTCTGTGCAACTTGTTACAGGCTTGCTGTGCTCTAAACCCCAAACCCCTAAACCCGTAACTCCTAAACCCCTAAACCCTAAACCCCTAAACCCCAAACCAGCTTGCGAGATCTTGCGAAATGGCTATCTGATCGTGTTCAGGGGCCAGCAGGTTTCCGGCCTGCTGGTCGGAGTAGAATTTCAATCGCCGAGCCTCTTGAAATATATGGGTGGTTGTCAAAATTAGGGTCCCTTCGTGGGTCCCTGATATAGTACGGCACCTAATATTTAGGGGTACCCCAAAAAGGGGCCATAATTTGACAACCACCCATGTACGCGTAGCATACTGGAAATGTGGGATAGCATAACAGACGATAATATAACATGTATAATGTACTGTAAGATGTTGGGCTGCAAGATAATGTAATATAGCATGACGTGTTATGGCATTATGGTGTTTTCAAGCATGGTAGATTATCAGAATGTTTCCAGGTTATGCGGATGTATATTCTAACCCAATATAACAGATCAAAGCATTTTGCCATATAACACACTATAATGCAATACAATGCAATATATTCGAAAATGAGATCGTACAGTTTGCTTGGCATACAACAATATAACATAACATAACTGAATGTAATGTAATGTAATGTAATGACATATCAAAATATGTTAAAATGATGTAATCTACTGCAAGATAATTTCATTAGTTCGAGCGCCAGCTTTGTGCCGCATGCCTCGGCAAATGCTAGTCCACAAGTAACTTTTGAAGACTTGCAGCTTCACAGTGCTGCACCCCCGCAGAACCCCGCGTGAACCCTCGTAACCTTGGAAGGGCTTTCAATGCCTCAGCATCTTCAAAAAACCCCGGCACACATCTCATCATCTCTGAACTGATCTCTGAACCCCAAAGGCGTCAACACTCGTAAGGCCCTGAATGCCCACACTGTGTCCCAACACAACCGCATGCTCGAGCCCGAACCCAAATCTGTATAAGGTTGAGGCTTGGGGGTTCATTGGCTCCGGTAGGTTTGAAATTGCGCTGACAGTGCCACCCTTTATCCACCGAATCTGTTTTCTTGATCATCTCTCCACGCCAAGAGCCTGAAGATCAAGCCCATGGGGGTAATTCAGGGTTTATGGTTTAAGCGTAAGCTTTTTTTTTGCTCAGGCCTGCGCCAAGGCAGGCAACCTTCAAGAAGCAGAGCGCCTGTGGCAGTCTATGGGCGAAGCGCGGATTCATCCGAACACGTTGCGGGACTGACATAGAAGAAGACTAACAATGCCGAGGTCTATGACACAAAGGTGTTTGTGCGTTACTTGCTCGTTTTTCCGTTTCCCCACTCCATCATGCAGGCTCCTTTCAATCGAAGGAACGCCGATCTGCCAGTACCCGGTATGATATTGCAGGCAAAGCAAGATTAGGAAAGACAATAGTAATACTAGACTCTAGACTGGCTACATCCTGGCAAACTTCAACGACCTTGACACAAGCTTCAGCAGAGGAGTGCCCACACTCAGAAGGTTTGCACATCTGCACCCGATGACTTCGTGCCACTTACAGCTTGTCGATGCTGCAGAATGGCAGGGTTTCAGGGAGTGAGAAAGCCACCTCCTGGCGACGCAGGGTCTAGCGCCAGTATCGGGTTTACGGGGCCTTGAGAACGTCCGCTGGAGAGGCTTCACCCAGAGCCTCCTAAACCCTAAACCCTGAATCCCAAGTCTCAAGGAAAAGCTTCGGGAAGATGATGGCCGCAGCTGCTAGACTTGGGAACCGTGAGGCAGCAGAGCAGCTTTGTCTGCACAGATACTATGCAGTACTGTAACAATTACAACGAACATGCCACTAGTAGTTGATTGAAGCTGCTTCCACCACTACTACTACTACTACTACTACTGCTACTACTACTACTACTACTACTACTACTACTACTACTACCACTACTAGAGTAGTAGTAGTAGTAGTAGTAGTAGTAGTAGTAGTAGTAGCAGTAGTAGTAGTAGTAGTAGTAGTAGTAGTAGTGGTAGTGGTAGTGGTAGTGGTAGTGGTAGTGGTAGTCGTAGCTGATCGTAGCTGGTAGTCGTAGCGGCTGCTGTTGTTGTTGTTGCAGTACTTGCAGGGGGAGGAGATGTATTATTGCCGCTAGCATGCATGCTAATGCCGTTGCCGGAGTGCATGGTTCTAAACGTTTGCGCCCTCGCGCAAGCTCGTTATCGTCACAGATAAAGCACCTTTGCGACAGCGGCAACTCCACACATCAACAACTGTAGCTTACTGCGCGACGTCAACAATCAGAACAACAAGAGTAGTGACTAGTGGCAGACAACGCTGGCAGCAGCCTCGGCAACAGCAACAGCAGAAGCAACAATGACATTGTGTACAGCCTCCGCATGCACAAGCCGCAGCCACATCAGTGTTGGGGGAGGGGGGGCAGGCCTCTGACATGGTCAGTGTCTCATGTATGATGGTTTTGGTCGTCGTATCCATGGTGTCGGTAGCACAGTCCGTGACTAGAAACATCTTGCTTCTGCCCATCATCGAACGCCGGCCAGTCAGATCAAGAGGCCCCAGGCACCACACCCGCCACACCCTAAGCCCTGCACCCTAACCTCACAATCCGATAACCGCAGGAACCCTGAACCCCGAGTGCACAACCCCCTAGTCCATCAACCCTGAACCTGAAGCCTCAAAGCGCATCCAAGGCAATGGTACGCGCGGATGAAGGAGTTTGGGGACTCTCCGGCTCCCAGCCTGGGTTTGGGGGGGTTTTGGGATTCGTTTAAGCGATTTATAAACGGACTTTCACGGATTAAAAGGGTTACCACGGGGGTTCTAGAGGTGTTTATGGGTTGGGGGCTTGTGGGTTTCGGGGTCGAGCCCCCCCGCAGGAACACCAAAAGCAAAACCACACCCACACACCCACCCACACACACACACACACACACACCAACACACACACGCGCGCGCACGCACGCCCACGCTCACGCCCATGCTCACGCCCACCCCCACGCCCACGCCTATGCCCACCACGCCCACCACGCCCACCACGCCCACGCCCACACCCAAACCCACACCCACCCACAGCAGCAGCCACGAAAGATTACGCCCCCACCGCCACCCCTAGCTCCCCCCAGCCCCCTGCAACAATAACAAACTTAAAAAAAACAACCACTCCCCGGCAGCAACAGCAAAAAAAGAACACATCCCCGCACATGAACGCAAAAAAGCAGCAGCAGCAACAGAAAAGCATTCTCACCGATTTGAGCCTAGCGAAAGGCGGGTTGAGATCTGCTTCGCAAGTTCCACAGGCCTGAGCTAAGTAGGCTTGGTGGTCTGCAAAGCATGCTTCCACGCCAAATATGCGTTTCTCTTCTACACTCAATTTTTGCCCCTACGGAAGCAGTCATGGTCGCCGCCGGTGAAGCAGAGCAATGACACATGAAGCTCGGGTGTCGTGTGAGATGCTACGGGGCGCCACCAAGCCGTTCCTCTTCTAACGCGCCGTACCACCCGCTTCTTCCCTTCAACCCAAGGCCCACGACCATCACCAATGCCATCATGTCGTGTCATTGTTGTTCTTGGCGTTTATTTCCCTTTCCGAAAGCTCTTGTGCCGCTGAGGTGAATCGGGTTCAGTTTCACATTCTCCTCCAGGCATGCGCCAAGGCTCAAGACACCACGGCAGCCGAGAAATGGTTCCAGGACTTTCCTTTGTTGCTCGAATGTTGTGCGATCGGACCTCATACGAACCCTATCCTGCGGCCTGAGCCCTTTGAAGCTTGCCAGGGAGCTTCGGGCTACTAACTACTGGCATCATTGTCGCGTGACTTGCTGTCGCAATGATCATGAAAAGCATGACTTCGGTGCTGAGCACTGCCACTGCTGTTGCTACCGCTGCTGCCGCCACTACTGCGATTACGATTACAACTGCTAGTGCTACTATTAGAACTAGTACTACTACTAAGTACAAAACGCTACTTACTACTTCTCATTACCACTACTACTCTTATTATACTACTACGACTACTGCTGCTCCTCCTGCTGCTACTACTACTATTGCTACTACTACTACTACTACTACTACTACTACTACTACTACTACTACTACTACTACTACCAATACTACTAATACTACTACTCTGCTCCTGCTACTGGTACTGCTCTTGCTACTACTAGGATTATAACTACTACGACGACGACGACGACGACTACTACTACTACTACCACTACTTCCAGTGCTCTCCTCCTGTCGGTGAGCGAGGTACTCCAGTAACTAGTTGCAGTCGACGCAGCATCACTTTTCAGGAGATGGTCGCAACTGGTGCACAGCCGGAGCAAAAACACTTCAACAGTGACCTGTCCTTTGGGAGTGATTAGAGCGTATGCTCGGTGGGTTTTAGGGCCCAGGCGAATTCTGGCTCCTGGCAGATATCGCTTCCTAGCTATTGCGTTGAGGATGCAGGAATCTGCAGCTAGCCCGACCACTAAACTCCGAAATGGTCCAAGTGCCGCACCCGGCAGCGCCTAGCCGCGAGGGCTGTAGACCTGTTCGTGTACGTGTATATATATATACACATATTTATATTGATGTGTGTGTGTGTGTGCCTGTATATATATATATATATATGTGTATAAATGTATGCATATATTATATATTATATATATATATATATATGTATACACACATACGCACACATATATGTGTCGACTTGTCGTTCTTTGCAGAATCACGTCTTTCTACCGATCGGCATATACACATACATACACATTCCGGCACTTGCAGAGATACAAAAACTTACATGCACATAGATGTACATAAGCCTTCGTACATACATATCTACATGCATGTATAAGTACATACTTACATACTCACTTACTTACTTACATACATGCATAACTACACATGCGTGTAAGCATGTGTCACACGTACATGTGCTTGCATACTCTCTCACTACATATGCATACGCATACACGTACGTGCACAAGCACACGTGTTTGTATATATATATATATATGTATGTATGGATGCATGCATGTATGTACGTTCGTATGTACGTATCTATGTACCTATAACTATGTGCATATATACGAACTTACGTGTGCATGTACGCATATATGTGTACGTGCATGCAGGCATACATGTATGCGCACTTTCTTTCTTACTTGTCAGAGCTTTGGTTTTGATCACGTTTTGTGAACAGGTCAACGTCCAAGGTCGTCATACGGGCTGAGCTAGGCGGCTTCAGGCTGTTGATCGAACTTCTAAGGCATGGTTGAGACAGGAGCACGGGCAGGCAACTTCTCCTTTGCACAGGCTCACTTGGCTTTTGGCGCAACGGCAGCATGTAGGGTGTACAACTGTCATAGCGTCCTGAACTCGACAGATGCTTAGTGGAGCATCTGAATCTTCAGTTAGGAACATCTTCAGTTAGATGCCCTTCCTGTTGACAGGCCTGGTTTCAAAAGGCCAAAGACTGGGCTTTTGACCTGGATCCATCGCTGTTGGTCAATGCTGCGGGTAAGAGCTTAGAGACGGAAACGGCCGAGAAGCTTTTCGTCGAGCTGGCTTCACCAGGCCTGCCGGAGTACAAGTACGTGCTCGATGCTTTTGCACGCCACGGAAACTGGACACGGGCTAGATATTGGTATGACCAGGCTATGCAAATGGGGATACCAGTGAGCCTTGACAGAGAGATTGTGCTGACCATGATGTTTGCGGCAGCACGCAGTGGCAACACCGTAGCAGCCGAGCAGCAGATGCTAGAAGCCAGGGCGGCCGGGATGGAAGACCATGCAGGCATGTATACGGCGCTGATAACCGCTGCTGCCCAATCGCAGGATTATGAGTTGGCAGAGAAGTGGCTGCAAGAAGCACGGAAAGCTGGGTTAACTCAGCCTGAGCAGTACAACTCTGCGATAAATGCAGCTAGTCGGTGTGGACAGCTAGACTCTGCGGAGCATGTTGCCGCACTGGCAGAGCTAGATGGTGTGGCTCTCAACGACTACAGCTTCTCTGGATTGATTGTGGCAGCTTACAGTACCAACGACATGGCCGCCGCAGAACGCTGGTTCCAGCGTGCTGTGGATGGTGGTGGACTGAGCACTCTGCTTATCAACACAGCCGTCCACGAAGCAGCGAGGTGTAACAATCTGACCGCTGCTGAAGGCTTTTTCCGCCACTTTGAGACGTCTGCTCTGGAACCCGATGCTTGGAGCTTTGTAGAGATAGTCAGAGCAGCTTCCCATGCTGGAAACCTGGCCGCGGCAGAGCGTAGGATGGAGGAGGCACTCGCGGCTGGGCATACGCAACTCCCAAATCTGCACTTGGGCCCAGCTGGGAGCACATTTTTAAACTTCGTGTGTGTGATTGAGACGAACAGGTAAGTGCTTGCTGCTTGCAAAGAAGAAACCTGAGGTATAGCTCTGTCATCAACTGTGCAGGGAGCACAGGTGATCATGCATCAGCTGAGAGGTGGTTTCGGCGGGCCACAAATTCTGGCATTATACCAGACATGTCATTTTTCAACAAGGTGCTTGACATCCTAAACCCATATATGCATAGACGCATAGCCCAGATCTGCAGTGACCCGACTGAGAGTGTCGAGACCCGACGCAACACGTACCTTTGCAGGTTCTTGCAAATCTGGCCAGGCGCGGAGACTGGGGAGCAGTCCAACGATGGCTGCAAATTGCTAGGCAACGTGGTGCAGTGCTGAACAGAATGACCTATACTACGCTACTTAGTAGCTGAATGAGTGCACTTTTACGCGTTTTGGGACAATATTATCCCCCCATATAGAACTGAAAATTTGTAGTTTCTGGGCTATATGAACTGAACAACTCAGGTTAATCAGCGCCGCTTCCAAGCGGGGGCATGGGAAATATCAGCAGCAGCAGGGTGCGGCGAATCTATTGGAAGCTACAAGACTGCTCAATGAAGCCCTGGCTGGTGGCATAACCGTAGACATTATACTGATGAACAGTGTCCTTGCAGCAGCAGCGCAGGCTGGAAGGCTGAAAGAAGCAGAGGATGTCTACCAGACTGCCCTTGAGGAAGGGCTTTCTCCCACGGCCGTCACTTTCAACACCCTCATCAACGCCGCCTTAAGGGCAGAAAACTTACAGAAAGCTGAGGATTGGCTGCAGCGAAGTAAAGACTTTGGATTCTGGCCCACTGCTCAGACTTTTACACCCTTTCTGGCATATGCCGGCAGGATGCAAGATGTCACGCTTTCCGAAACATGGCTTGATCGTATGCTCGCGGAGGGTGTGAAACCGGACCTCATCACATACAGCACCTAGGTAGGGCTTTGGGACATTTTATATTTTCAGTTATTGGGCTTAAGAGGATCTTATCTACTAATATTTTTCAAAGGCTCTAAAAGCCCCACCTAGGCACCCTCATATCTGGTGCCGCGAAGGCCGGCAACCCACAGGTGGCAGAGGTTTGGCTACAGCGTGCAATAGCCGCCGGCATGAGACCAAACAAGGTATGCTATGCTAGTGTCATGGATTCCTATGCACGAAAAGGAGATGCGAGTCAATGCTTGGCTCGGTTTTCAGACATGGAGCTGGCTGGCGTAAACGGTGGCATAATGGAGCTGAATGTCGCTCTGAAGGCGTGCGCGTCTGCCGTACCTCCAGATGAAGACCGTGCAGCGCTAATTCTGGAGATGATATCTGAACGCCGCCTGCATCCGGACTTGACGACGGTAACTCGGTAAAGTTACCTTTGTTTCTACAGTATCATGAAACACTCATGCTAGCTGTTGCACAAGCTAGCCTGCACTCCTCTGTGTCTTCCAGGTAACATGCCTTCACAACCCCAGTTGTCGCAAATTCGCCTGCTAGGCTTGGATGCCTGCATGTCAGCAATTTGTCACATGATCAGACTCAGGTGCAACACTTGTCGAAGGTGCTGGGCGGCCATGAAGCCGCAGCAAGTGCAGCTGGCGCAGTTGGCTTGGATTTGCAGGCCACGCTTCGGGTTTAGGGTTTCGGGATGTGTAAGGTGCTTGTCGAGTTAACGTTCATGAGCCAGTTGGGATCGACAAGGTACATGTAATGTGAATCAGTCTTGAATTGAGTGATGGTTCGCCCATGCTTAATGCATTGATCTTCTCTTTAGCTTCGCTGTTAATTGGCAAGAACGCTGGGTTGTGCTACGAATACTACTACTTCTTCTTCTGCCACTACTACTACTACTACTACTACTACTACTACTACTACTACTACTACTACTACTACTACTACTACTACTACTACTACTACTACTACTACTACTACTACTACTACTACTACTACTACTACTACTACTACTACTACTACTACTACTACTACTACTACTACTACTACTACTACTACTACTACTACTACTACTACTACTACTACTACTACTACTACTACTACTACTACTACTACTACTACTACTACTACTACTACTACTACTACCACTACGACTACAACAACTACTACTACTGCTGCTGCTGCTACTACTACTACTACTACTACTGCTACCACTACCACTGCCACTACCACTACCGCTACCGCGACCGCTACTACTACTACTACTACTACTACCACTGCTACTATCACTACCACCACCACTACTACCACTACTACCACTACTACCACTACTACCACTACTACCACTACTACCACTACTGCCACTACTACCACTACTACTGCTACTACTATTATTACTACTACTACTACCACTATTACTACTACTACTACCACTACTACTACTACTACTACTACTACTACTACTACTACTACTACTACTACTACTACTACTACTACTACTACTACTACTTTGAACTACAGGAATGAGAGCAACAATGTCATGTTGTGCTATCCCAAAACAAGTTCTTACGTGCTGAATATGTGACCCTTGTCCCCGTAGAGTGGTGAACAACTATGGCTTGGATTCGAGCGGGTTCTAGGTGGTTAACTCATATGTAGAATTTTGGAGGGTCAAGGGTGTGTTCAAGGGTTTAACATGGTTTTCGGGTCGCGGGTTTATTGCTTTAGGGCTCTAGAGGGGTGCCATATGTGGTGTCACGGATCGTGGGTTTAGGATTTGGGTTCCCTTGAGGGTATTGTAGAAGGATACTCTTAATGTTAAGGTTTGACTTTTCAGAGTTCCGTTAAAAGTCTTTGCACGGGTACTCTCTCGGGTTTCAAGCTCGGGAGTTTGGCATTTCATTGTGGAGGCTTGGGGCTTCAGAATTCCGGGATGTTGGCCGATCCACTCCTATATCCAGATGAACGATTGAGCACCAGCTACGTAAAGAAATAAACACATCGACAAAATCTGCCGGGCCACGAAAACGCCTTATTGAGGGTGGTCCTAAAAGGTGCACCAAAGAATGATAAACAGTAAATACCCTCCCGAAAAACGCATTTAAGTCACCTAGTTACCCACAACGCAACATCAGTAATAGCAATGACAATAACAAAACTACTAATAACATCAAGACTGGTATAGACTAGTGATGAGAATGCGAAAAGTACTTCTACCGTGCCTATACCTGTTACTACGTAGCTTTCTGCCATCATCTATTGCCGCTACTGCTACTGCTACTACTACTACTACTACTACTACTACTGCTACTACTACTACTACTTCTACTACTACTACTACTACGATTGCTAGTGCTACTGCTACGACTGCTACTGCTACTGCTACTGCTATCACTGCTTCGACTACTATTTCTACTACTACTGCTGCTGCTACTACTACTACGACGACTACTACTACTACTGCTGCTACTACGACTGCAACAACAACAACTACTACTACTACTACTACTACGACTAGCTACTACTACCATTACTACTGCTACTACCACTACTGCTACTACTACTACTACTCCTACTCCTACTACCTCTACGTACTACTACTACTACTACTACTACTACTACTACTACTACTACTACTACTACTACGTTCCTGAGCCTAAAGCTCCGCTTCATGCCAAAGCTCCTGTGCAAGTGGAGAGGCAGCTGAAAGCCGCACAAGCGCTGGCAGCATGGCAAGGGGAATGCATACCTCCGTCTGTACAGAGCATTATGCCAGTATCGTACACACACGTTGGTCCATAGTCACGTATATGCTTCTGCAGCAGCGTCACTCCCAGTAGTGGTGCACGCCCACACATAGACATGTGGCTTGCAGATCAATGCTACGCTGTAGTCTTCCTTCCTACAGTTGATTCACTGCAGAAATCTGCACTTTTCGTAGAAGTGGAATAAGTTGCAGGATTGCCACGTGCAAAATGAGAAATGAGATATAGAAGTTAGATCGGGTGAGAGAAGGTAGGTCGATAGAGAGTTTATCTTTTTCGCTCCCTCTCTCTCTTTCGCTACTTGTCCCCCTTTCACCCCCCTGCGTATGTACATATACATATTATATGCTGCCCCCACCCTCATGTGCCCAGCGTTCCGTCTGCTTTCGAGAAAAACCACACCACAGCCCTGATTCAAACGCGTGAGCATTGTGCAGGGTATGGCGGGGCTCTGAAAATTCGCGATGCAGCTCACACCCCTCTCCCATGACATGCTGAATTCTGCACAGTAAGGCTATGTTTGACCCTTGTAATATATAGTTTCCAGCGTGTCTTGGGGAGAGGGGGTTATACTACTCATATCACAACCAACGTGCTCCAGCATTGCCATTCACCTTGACGCCCGCACTGCCTGCTGTATTATCGAGTGTCTGACGTGGTTGTCTTTCTTGTCTGGTGCAATGTGAACTGAAGGTGATTCCACATGTTTATGCCAAAGATGTGATGCGAATGTCGATGAGGGCTGGTGTCGTTTATGTTGTTGTCGTTACTACTGTCAGTCTAGCTAGTGTGGCCAGGCTACGCCTGCGTTCTACGAGGTGGACGCAGTCAGGACAGTCAATACCAAATGCTGGAAATGCTGAGAGCCCATGCCACATATGCATGGTTGCTATCATATTGGTGGAAAGGGGATTGGTGTGGTCTGGGAACATAAAACATGCTTACATCCAAAGCATGTCACATATGCATGCTTGTTGCTATCACGCTTCGTGGAAAGGGGACTGTCGCGGCGCAAGAACACAAACGTGATTGCGTCATAACGTGCTCTTATCTCCTTGTATGTCCTGCGAACACCAATTAATTCGTGTGTGGCGGTGACGCTGCCGCTTAATGCGTCTAATATTTGTACAGAATAAGAGCCGAACACACCGTCAATGACGATGATGTTGGCGCCCATCGTCTGTTTGTTGTAAGTTCTACGCTTAGACTTAGGTACAGAGCATTAAAATAGAATGCTATGTTTTCCTTGTCTTAAAAATTTTTCGAGATGTGGTATCATGGTAAATACAAAGAAGTATTCGTATGCAAAGCCAAGACCGTAAATCAAGCAAGTGGGGACATGTCATTCGAGGTGGCAATATCAAGCAAACTATCGTAACCTATAGATGGCAAATGTACATATGACGGTGTTCTCGTCATGTTTCAGTTGCGGGTAGGTGCTGCTTATGTACCTCTTAACCACTACTTAGACAATCATTTGCTGTGTTCGGCTTATGTGTCTAACTTTACACAGGTCACCTCTAGCGAAGATGTGTTTGGCATTTAGTACTGACATACAAGACCTGTAGGTATAAAATCAGTATAATAGGTCAAAGATTCGATGTCATAAATTAAAATTGGCAAATGTAGCTAACTATTGTTGACGCCTTCGCTTGATGCCTAGTTGATGTTCAAAGACGGGTCATGTAACTATGTCTACTGACCACTGTTAACGAACATGAAAAATGTTGATAATGTAGCTAGTGTGCAGTTTGCACTTGCTCATTGTTTGATGTTCACCTTACATTCAAGCCGCCTGTCAGCAGTGTTTGCTTAACAGTTTGATGGTTTTTTCGCAAGTAACAGTTGCGGCAACTTATATGTGGCACATAGCTGGTTCAAGCTCAGTCATATGGAACTGATATTTCATCAGTGTTCAAATACCACTTAGTTTGTTTCGATGAAATCCCCACGGCATGTACCCCATCTGTTACGCACAGCTCGCTACTGTTAAAACATACCTGCATACGCAGTTTTGGAGGCATTGTAGTATCTAAACTATTATGGCTCTGTCGTTTGATGGATACTTCAAGGACGTTACGTATTTAGTGTTAACTCCTTCCCAGTGAAACAGCCTACAGTCAGTTTGTAAAACCTTAAACAATTGTTCGGATTCTTTGCAATATCGAGTGATTCAATAAATGAGTAGGTATGCATGCAAACATGCCGAAATTCAACTGATTACAGATTATCCAAACATCAGCTGTCCGTTACATGACTACAGTCTAAATTACCTGAGTGGTGATTATACAGTAGGCAAATGTCAACCCAATGTTAACCTTACTGTGAAAATATGTGGGGAGAATACTGTACTACATGTTCAAATACTGCTATCTCAGTACGATGTATTTGATGAGGTACATAAAAATCATTCTAAAGGAACTGAATGCGGGTTATACAATAGTCAAGCGCCAACCCAATGTTATCTAGACCGTTCTACCGTGAATATATATGTTTTCTCAATATTAAACTTTCAATCAACATTTTCTGAGTACGAGGTCTTTGATGAAGTGAAAGGTCTATGAACTAATTACACGAAAACATGAACTACTGCACAAACCCAGGTATCGTACATAGTGTCCTACGGCAGGTATAATGCGAAATGAACAGCAGTTGGATAAGGTTTAGAATGTAGGGTTTGAGTGCCCGCTCTTGAAAACCACACCCCTATGTACTCTTATGAGCAACATATTGGACAAAGTCTGCATGAATCAAAGTTCCCTCGTGATGAGAACGAGACCGAGAAACCTCCTGGTCCTCAAGCGGAGCCGCGTGGGAATCATGCGCAGCCGCAGAAGCCAAAATTCATCGCAAATCCAAAATCCAATATTTTCGCGTAGATGGAATAGCAAATTCCGGATTTTTGGCATTTTGGATATACGGA